CCCATCCGGAAACGGATGGGCAGACCGAGCGCGTGAACCGGGTCCTCGAAGATGTTCTTCGGAGTTATGCTACGTCATTTACAAGTTGGAGTGCATTTTTACCACTCGCTGAGTTCGCACTCAACAACGCCGTACACGCGTCAACAGGGTTGACGCCATTTTTTGTAAATTCGGCTCATTACCCTCGTGTTTCTACTGTCCTGGCCGTGGGGCGACCTACAACACCTAGTGGCTCCACTTTGGGGGGAAATAAAGGTGATAAACAAGGATCGAGTGCAGCTCACGGTATCTGAGCGCGAATGCAGTAACCCGATCCAAGGCAAAGACGGCCATTTTGACGCCATCAGACGTGGCGTCCCCATTAGCTCGATGGACTGCGCAGACATTGATTGACCCGTCTTCGGGTAAACGTTCCCCTACTGCCAACTACGCGCCGATTGAGTCGGCGCGACCAATTGATGACATGGCTGTGTTGGAATTTATACTCCAACGTCAAGCCATCACCCGGTTTGTACGCGACGCACTACAAACTGCTGTAGACCTACAGAAGGAGAATGCTGACAAACATGGACGAAAGAACATGAGCAAGTTTGAGAAAGGTGACCGTGTATTATTATCGACGGAAGGTTTAAGGGATTCTGCGGTCACTAATCTGGGCGCGAGTAAACTCGCGCCACGCTTCATCGGTCCATTCAAGGTTCTGAAGGCAATTGGCGACGCTTATACACTCGACGTCCCCTCTTCACTGCGACTCCACCCGACATTCTATGTCGGGCGGCTGAAGGAATATCGTCCGGCTACGCTTCACGGTTTGGCTCCGATGCCGGCTTCAGGGGTTCGTAAGTCGAACGGCCTTCCCGTCGCGCTCGACGCGCCGATGACATGGGGCGGGGTCTCGATCCCGTCTGAACCTGACCAAGCATCTGGCGCTCCAGATTCCTTATCCGTTCGAGCAGTTCACGGTTCGACTGCCGGGTCTCACTCGAAGTCTTCTCCGCCTGGGCAGCACGTTCACTGGCAGCCTCAGCCTCCAGCCGAGCATCGGCAGCTATATTCACGGCCTGATCAACATCGTCCTGAGCAACCAGGACGCCAGCTCTACCACCGCGAGAGCCCTCCTCCGCTTGTTGATGCGGAGGGACATGTGCGCTGGATTGTAGACCGCATTGTGGGTCACGAGGACCCTCCTCAACCATTACTGCAGTCGGCTCATGAGAAGCGTGCGGTTTCATCCGTGCGCAGGTACCGAGTACGTTGGCTTGGATTCCCTCCCGAGCAGGATACATGGGAACCACGTTCCTCGCTCCTTCGTGACGTTCCAGATGTGGTTCTGTCGTATGAAGCCACGAAGTCGGACTATTCCAAGGCGGGCGAGCACGCGAACGCTCTCGTGACAAACGAAAGCGGTAAGGAGATTCACGTTGTCGGGAACGGGAACGATGACCAGAACGAGAACGATGTCGCGAACGAGAACGACGCCGTGAACGAGAACGTCGCGGTGAATACATATCACGATTGCGAGGCGAGAATCGCGAAGCAGGACGGGCAAGCGAGCGTGTCGCTGCCCTGCGCTGATGATCCCGCGGAGATTGACTTCGCTGTCGTGAGTGGTGCTGCCAGCGAGGCGCACCACGAATAACTGCGCTCCTCCGTTCGCCCAGACTTCGCTCATACTTTGCAATCCAACTTCGTTCGCGATCGCTGAGTGGACATGTCGTCGCCATTCGTCATGAATTGGGCGTGGAGTCGAGTCACAAGATTGGCATCCTTCATTGACATGGACGAAGCAGAGACGGTCCTCATTCCAAGCATCCTCACACACTCTTTCGCGTAGCGCGCCGATGGAGTGATCGGCGCGAAGTTCCTCTCGATTGGCGAGCCATAACTGGAAGTTGCTACCATCCTCGAGCATCCGATTCCAACGTTGGATGAAGGCGCACCAAGAGCGTTGTAGAGCTTCATGCTCGATTCCATCAAGACCTTTCCCGCGCAGTTTTCGAAATCGGCGGAAGTAGTCCCGCATCATGTCCAGTGAGTCCGGAGCGTGAGCTCCGGACAAGTCGTACAGCGACCAAGGTATGAGCTGCCGCGTAATGATGCTGGTTGGTGCATTCCCGCTGATGTATCTTGGGCGTGCTGCTGGATTGGGTGTTGGGTCTCCAGACATTGCTTGTTCGTTTGTGAGCAAAGGGTTTTCGACAGTTGAGCACTCACGGTTGGTGAGTGCTGTCATGAGAAGGGGGTGATGTAATGGGCTACATTAAATAGTATTAATATGAATAAACAATTACATATGTAGGCAGGTGCTGGGCCCGAATAGCGGGCACAGCGTGGTAATTTATCATTGGTTTATTATTGGGCCTAAAGTCCCCAATATGGACCAATGATAAATCAACCTGAAATTGTGTGGTTCCCGAAAGGCGGGAACACTGTCGTATTTATTACGACTAAAATCTTCGTAATTAGTACGAATTAAAACCAAAATAAAAATCAGAGTTAAATTTACTTAATACCTAATACTTGGGCTTGAGTCTTCCTCAAGCGCGCGTGTAAGCTAGTGACGGTACGTTCTAGCCCCGTTACACATGGGGTCTCATCACACAATTTTGAGAACCCACTACACCACATAAGCGCCTTGCTTTCTTATCAGGCTTTCCTGGTGATAAACTTGCTCCTGAGTAAGGTAATTTTCTTTACGACTTCGTCAAGTTCATGTTGTATCAAATTGGCGGTGGTTGCATGTTGTTCGTCTACGCTAAGAGAGAGCGACATGGCACTAACGGTAGGGTTGCCGATGGTATCAGCCATACGCGGAACCGCATTCCATTCGAGGTCACTCAAATGGCGGAAATCATTACGCGCTGCTCGATGACGTTCTTTATCCGCTGATTCCATAGCGGATGGTACGGTGGTCGTTGAACGGACCACGAAATGCTACCAGGTGTAATGGGCACCCTCCAATTTTTCTCTTAAATGTAATCTACCTTCACTGATGACAGTGAAAGCAGGTACCTCAGAACTTTACGTACACGTGAACAGATAAAGTCTTATTAACAAGGGGTTAACAAGAAAAAGAGAGCTGTAAATAATATAGTTATTCTATCTAATAAACTAATCTGTTATTACCTTGTCTTAACTATATCAAACTACAACTATGTATGTTGACAACTTGCCCTCCACTCATTGCGCGCGTCCATCGGTCATTGATCAGCACGTTTGTTGATATAATGGTCTATAGCAACCAATTAGAGGGCATCTCCAACTTCATGGAGATGCAAGAACAATATTATAAGTAAAGATTGTAATGTCGAATATTAGTTATAATAATATTTTTATAAATTAGCATCGACACTTCATATAAATGCTAATTTATGTAACGGACTCACCCCGTTACACTTAAGCTATTGCTGTCCCTCTAATTCCTTAGAACAAGGTGACTTCTTAGTCGTTTGATTAGTCCCTTAGAACAAAGTGTCAACTTTCAATCAGTTCCTTTATAACTAAGAAGCTTATAGCCTAAAACGTTTTCCTCTGACTTTAGAACTGTGTAGCTTGAATCGTTACAGGCTGATTTTACACTATCATGCGAGCAGGTCTCCATAAACGATCTCGGCAGTAAAAAGCTGCCTACAGGTTGAAAGTTGCATCAAATAAACTATTTGACACACATAGAAAAGATAACATTCGGTCCTCACTAACAAATTATTATATTCGGTCCGCGCGTACCTATCCGTCGGAATGACGGGTGAACGCCCTAGCAAAGTGCTGCGTTAATGCTGCCTTATACAGCGTAGACCTCGCGCGCCATGTCCGTCTGACCGACGGGTGAATATCCTAGTCTTATATATAATAGTATCGAATTTTATTAGCTAAAATAATATTCGTATTGGCACTTGATGTTTGTGCCAATGTCATGTAATGGGCTCACTTCGTTACACCCTCCATATGTCTCAGCATTATTACGTACCTTAGAGATGTAATGGTCTTGGAAAAAAACGACGTTGGGCGCCGATTCAATCTCTATGGTGAACAATTCAGCGAACATGCTCGCAGTCTAGAGTGATACTATATAGCTGGGGAAGAAGAAGAACCAGATAATATGACCACATTGTCAGAGTTACTGATGGCTTGGTTGGCCGGGCATTCTACACAATGGAAGTTTTCAATACATGCACCTTTATATACACGTATACGTACTTGTAAAAGCATGATGCTTTACGTTACGACACACGATTCATCGTAAATAGTCATAATTTGTGCTAACAGATTTTCAAGTTATAACCTGATACTATATGGACGCTATCCTGGTCGGGTTGGGGTAACGCAAGTCCTGGATGCTTCTCCCTCTACACACCTCTCTCTTGCCGCTCTCACCCCCAGCCGCCATCCAAGCCACCACGATGTACGCCGCCACGCCCGAAGTCTCGGCATCTCCGCTTAGGTACACTCGCGTAATCCTTTGTTCCCCGTGCAAGCAACAAGAGACCCTCCCTGGGTGGAACATGTTGACAAGATAGACATCCAAGCAAGAAACCTACCGCTGGACACTGCCGGTCGACTATCCCCAGACCTGTACCTCCTTCGCATGTGCGCACAGGCGCCGCTTAATGGACCCTGGCGAGAGTAGAGAGAAATGTAGAGAATGAGAGATAATCCGACGCATGCAAAAGTAAAGCCACTTTTGGTGGCAAGACATACATACCTATATACATACATACATCCATACATACATACATACATACATACATACATATATGTGGACGCTTCTCCTTGCCACTCACTGTGCAGGTTTTCAATAGGTCACTGCAACCCTAACACTCATATACTCTTCATTTCAATATCGTCAATACTATCCCCAAGTAAGCTTTTTCCACGGAGGGATGGGCAGCTGTTGCTACATCGTCAGAAGTGCGCAGTTTCCATTCCGCACTCGTGTGTCAATTTGCCTCATTACTTCAATCTTAGTGCGGAAAGCTATCAGCCATTGTTTCTAAGGGGTAATGACGGTGCGGATCGCGCAACCAGACGCTGATCATATGCAGGATTACCTCATCAACTGGAACGCCGGGCCTTTGGGCGTAGTGCTGCGACCCGATTTGGGCGTCGACATGCCCCCTGTCGTGTCGCAGTTGCTGCCACAGCCTTCCTTGCTCAAGATGGCAGGTGTACGAGAGGGGGATTTGCTTATTAGCGTCGATGGCAAGAAAACGACACGTCTTGGGTACGAGAAAGTTGTACGTCTGCTCTTTCAGGAGCGACTGCCTATGGTGCTGCATTTCCGCTCACCGCTACAAGAGCGACCGCGTGGTGTCTCAAGGGCTGTAGCTGAGGACCCCGTGCGTTCTCGTGCTCGTACCACCAGTTCTGCGCGCTCTCAGACGTTGCCCAGTCGACCACGTGGTCGCTCTGACGTGATGCAGCAGATTGAACAGAAACGGAAATCAAACGAGCAAAACTTGAGCATTGAAAGCAACGGGTCGTCGACATTGACGAAGAGCAAAAAGAAAACGAGTAAACAACCGAAACACGGAGTCAAGACGGAAGCAGAAGAAAAACGGTTACGCAAACAATACAGCGTTGTATGGGAACGTGGCTCTTTGGGCATTTCGTTCCGTGCCTACAGCTCCAAGGTAAATGTCCCATGTGTGGACTTTATTAGTGCCAATCGAGGTCAAGGACGTGGAATGGATCTTGTCTGTGTCAATGACGTGCTTATTGCTATTAACGGGGAAAAAACCAAAGCACTTGGCGTCGAGAAGGTGCTGAGATGGCTACATGTCGTGGAAAAGCCAGTGGTTCTAAGGTTCCATGCATCTTCGAACCGGGTAACGGATCCAGTGGGAGAATTGCTGCCACATTTAGCAGATGAAGAAGATACTTCGGCACGTATAAGACGACCGACAATGCCACAAACTCAACCCGAGTTTGAACCGATGCCACGGCCACCGCGTCGTAATAATAGTGTAGATCAAGGCATGCGGAGGATGGAACGAGGTAATGTGAATGACAGGGAGAACAAACTACATTTGCCAGTGTCGCAACATTTTTCGAGAGACAGAGCCACGTACAAGCAGCAGAGTAACGAACAGGAGTTATCGTATCAATTTGGAGGATCCAATAGTAAAGTAAAAGAGCGACGCTACACGACCAGCTCGATGAATGTCTACGCACGAGGTCGAGTTCGGTCGTATGGAGATGGCGCAACGGGAGATTTCTGTCGTGAGCTGCCGACGAGCGTAGACGAACCCATCAGCATCTCACACCGTCGTCAACAGCATAAGGACTCTTCTCGCTTCAACCAGCTGGATCAGGGCCAATTGTTATCCGTGAAATCGGCTTCATGTGACGATTTTCGACGTCAGTTTCAGTTGAAAAGCAAGTCTTCACAACCACAAATCACGGCATCTGCGCGCCCACGAGTAGTGTCACGTGATAGCCAAGTCAGCAACATGTCTCGATTGAGTTTTGATGAGGCCGCTGATGTTGTCGCCCGAGCTACAGGGCGGCCCGTGGAAGAATGCGAGTTTGGGGGAATACCAGTGCTTGATATAAGGGAAGGAACAGTCCAGTCAAAGCTGATGTATATTTACGCAAAGGCATGCTTGGCGAAGCAGGTCGACAAATCTACATCAAAAGAATTTCAGCCGGCTCACGCTCCTGGTCATCCTCTAGGTCGAAAGACGCATTCCAAATATTTGTCGTACACTATTTTTCAGGACGATGCTGTGGCTTCGAACCACGCACCTAGTCCAGGGAACGGCTGCACCAGCAACGAAAGTGTGGTAGAGCAGGAGGAAGAGTACAAAGTCGAAGATATTAACAATAGCGTTGAAACCAAGATTGCAGATGTGCCCGAACACAGATCGGATGAGAGGTTTGCAAAGATGCAAGAAGACATTTCCATCCCGCCGCCGTCGGTTGCTACTCAGTATGTATCTTTGGTGGGCCCTGCTTCTTTGGTCAGCAGTGATACCACCTCCGATGTGCTTCCTGCCCCAGAACCCGTGACTGACGATTTCATTTCACTAAAGGATTTTGTCGTGGAGGGCGGAAATCTGACCGAGCGTTGTACTACGGCGAGTCTTAACAGCACTGCGACGCCGGCGCAATTAATGGATGGTTGTGATGAGAGCGAGAAGGCACTGGAGGATGAAGCAGATCTCATCAATACAAATGAAGAGGTTATTGTGGAAACTACCGGTGAAGCTAGCGGTGAAGCTGTAGGAGATAATATGGAGTTGGCAGAGCCGAAGGAGGCTAGTTGTGATGACAGCAAACGAGTAGACCCAGTTATGGATGAGAACCAGGAGGTGGAGAAACCTAAGATGATGGTTGTGTTGGAAGAAGAGTGCTCCTATACGAACAAGTACGAGCACGCTGACGATCACATGGATGCAGAAGTCGAGAATGCTGAGGAGGATGATGGCGTTGCCGGTACTGACAGCATCAATGAGCGAGACTTGGCTGTGCATGTAGAGAATCTTCCGGCGATCAACAATACAAATGAAGAGGCTAGCGGTGAAGTTAGCGGTGAAGCTAGCGGTGAAGCTAGCGGTGAAGCTGTAGGAGATAATATGGAGTTGGTAGAGCCAAAGGAGGCTACTTGTGATGACAGCAAACGAGTAGACCCAGTTATGGATGAGAACCAGGAGGTGGAGAAACCTAAGATGATGGTTGTGTTGGAAGAAGAGTGCTCCTATAAGAACGAGCACGAGCACGCTGACGATCACATGGATGCAGAAGTCGAGAATGCTGATGAGGATGATGGCGTTGCCGGTATTGACAGCATCAGTGAGCGAGACTTGGCTGCAAGCGTGGCTTCTCTTGACGATCTGCTTGATTTTCCATTTAAAAATGGCAACCACGATAAAGAAGAGTCTGACGAGTTTGCTGGCGGTGATGACGATGAGGAGAAGAACGAGGAGATAATCGCAGATGATAAGAAAAATATGGACACGTCGTTGGGTATGAAGTTAGACCAGGTCCAAGAGGAGGAGGTTGGCGATACGGATGACCACGGAGACCAAAATTTTCATGAGGAGCATCAGCATGACAAGGAGAACGAAGAGGTCGAAGAAAAAGAAGAATACGACGAAATTGAGGATGGCGCATTGTCCAACCCGCTTGTGAACGAACGCTTCCGTAATATCCCGGATATTTGGGAGGTCATCAAGGACAAACCTGTGCTTGTGGTGCTGATAAAAGAAAGCATGCTTGACGAGATCCAGGAGATCCTTCAAAGTCTGCAAATGGAGTTACACTTTGAGCGTCACTCCACCACGGCAGTTGGCTCAAGTCCGCTGCGTCTTTCGCAGCTAGATCGTGATACTGAGGGCCAGCACTGCTACCGTTGTGGAGCCACTGGTGAGCTCGCGGAGCTAAACGTTGCGAGTGAACAGAGTGAGCTATACTGCCAAGAGTGCTGGGAGCTGTTTTTCTTCAGCGAGGACTGCCAATCACCCGTGATAAGAACCAGCAAGACCCTAGCGCCGTCAGAGCTTGGTCGACTTACCACCGAAGAGGATGCACTAGACGAAGCACTCAAGTACAGTTTCCACGACAGCTCCGTTACACGTGAGGACATAGCCCACCCATGGCGATACCTGCAAGGCAGTAGCTCCACGTCGTCATCTATGTGTGACTCTAACGCCTCGAGTATGACAGAACAGGAAGACGAAGTCTGGCTTTAGGTAACGCCGTTTGGTACTTTGAGGCTTTTTTTCTAATAAAGCTCAATGGGAGTTTCAGTGACAACGTTGAGTATGTAATGATAAAGTGAGAGCGGTCACCACAGAAGGTTAGAAGAAAACGGATGCAAGCAGCAAGAAATTCACACAATCCACGCAGCTGCTCCAGCCGTTTTCTTACGTTTCAGCTGGAGCACAAGAGATTTGTTGTGTCGGGGACAAGTGGTGCGGCATTGACAAATAAACTGCGTATCGTTGCAGAGATATGGTTCTACCGGCCACCACTTTGGCGATTCGAAAGGTAGTGGACACTGTCAGCAGAATGCCATGGAGTATCCTCAAGCACATGGAACAGACTTTATTATGGAGTGTCCCTCCCGAGCCAAAAGGGCCCCAGTGGGCTGACGACGTCTTTACCGCTATAAAAGCGGTCTCCTTGTCGGAGGTGATCGAGGACGAACCCACGGACGATTGTAGCTCCGGAATGTTTTCTAGTGACGACGACGCAGATTGGAGCACTGACGACGGCAGTCTTGACGGTTGCTCGGCTGACGAAGACTCTGACTCATTCGTGTCGGATGCGTACCAAGGCGAGCGATGGTTCTGGTCACCACCCAGCTCGATGAACAGCATTCAAAGCTACGAAGACAAGAACGAGACGGCCAGCCAGCGTAGCGCAGACATGAACGAATTCGGATCAGAGCGAAGCGATGCAGATTATGGACGTCCCACCATGTATGCGATGCCGTCGATTGACTCTAAAAAGGATGCTATTGTTGATGCTTGGGTTGACCGCTACGGATCAAGCAAAGACGACTTTACTTACGTGGCGACTGTGTCCGACTATGACATGGATGATGGATCTCAAGAGCCAACTCTAGTGACGGGGTTCTATATCCCACAACTGTAAACGAACCAAGCCGTTCAACTCGTTACCCAAAGTTGTCACATCTCTCAGCCATCATCACATATTGAAGTCGCAAACTGATGTGTCGTTATAAGGATGGTTCTTGCCATCATGCCACAACACGGACAAGAAGCAACAAGAGTCTTTGCTAAAATTATGCTAACGTTTGCTAATAGAGACTGTAGCCATCCTGAGCCATGACATGTTGCAGTGCTTGAAAAGGGAGAGAGAGAGGCTTGTCGTTTTACTGTAGAAATTCGGCCACGCTACGCTGAACAAGTTGAATCCCTTCAGGCTGTTTTGCAAGGCTGCACCGCAGAATTCTGGTCAGTTTCAATGTAAAGAAGAGCAAACTCACAAACTCGAAAGCGGTGTACCAGACTACTTTGGAAAAGACGGAAGTGCATTATTACAAGACTGATACCTCAAACGGGAGCTGCATGAAGCTGTCCTGCACTACGTGATGATGGCGCCCACCCATCTTGTGTTGACGAGGACTTGGCCCAACAAAAGAAGTAGGATCACTGAACGTGACGTAAAAGTCCTCATGAGGAGCGGCCTGTTAATGCAAGTGAAGAGCGTGCGTTCGCGATATTGTTTAAGAGCGAGAAGATGGTAGCTGCTCGAGAACTTGAGTTGCTGGATGCAACAAGGGGAAATAGTTGCTGCCTACCGTCATGCTCGTGAGACAGAAAATTGTTGTGCACTTGGTTGCTGACCACTGTACGTACCTGGCGAAGATGGCATACCACATTTGCGGCGGAAGCTAGCTGTTCGCACCAAGACCAGCACAAAAAACGACATATTCGCAAGAAAGCGGACGCTAGCTGAAGCTGGTGTGACGAACCGTAGGGTGCTGGCACTACATCGCGTCCTGGCACTACATCGCGTCCTGGCACTGCGAAAAGAAGCCCGCATAGTTGCTCGTGCTCGTATATCGGCGTGACCGAAAGTGGGCTCCTGTGTAGACCGATCCTCCCGCAAGGTACAATTGAAGCAGTAAGAAGACGCGGAAGCTCAGCTAATGATAAGCGCCGTCGTACTGCTTGCCATATGACCATCGATTAATATAATACATTTTCGTTTCTTTGCTTGGTTCCTGATCGACCTGTGTACGATGACCTTTTCCCAAGACTGTTTCACACCAGCAGATGTTTGCCTACTTCTTGGCCTTTGCAAGACGCGTGACGGAGTTAGATCCAGAGCGTGGCAGCCAGATTTTGATTGAGCAGTCGGCCGAAGCGGAAGCCAGAATGGGCTCGGTGGGGTGAAAATCCACACAGTACACACGATCATTATGGGCATCGATCTTTTGCACGAGACTTTGTGTGTGTTTGCCGGACGCGCTTGAATCTGCAGCGTGCTTTGACGGCGTCACTTCGTGCAAGTATATATGGCGGTCCGCACTTCCGGTAGCAAGTAGCAGCGTTTCACGTGCGGAATCCATGGACCCATGCTCTCCACTTGAATCCTCGAAATCCTCTCCGTCGCCGTCCGTGAGCTTGCGCCGTGAACTAGTACTAGAACCGCCACCTAAGCCACCTCCAAGTCGTCCGCGGGGTGGCAGCGCCAGCTTGTACTTGTAGCCGTCACCCCGGAAGAACGAGCTCTTAATAGGCCAGTTCTTGTTCTTATGACCCGATACAGAGCACACCAGCTGCAGCTGGTCATCACGGCTATTACTGCCTCCACCAGGGCCGCGCCTCGAGCTACGAGAACTGATGAGCTTGGAGCGTCGGTCGTACACACGCAGGACGTTGTCGTAGCTGTTAACGCCGAGAAAGCGCCCGTCGTCACCGCCATCACTGGCTGGCGACGCATGTACGTGCGAGATGGCGTGTCTGGCTGGGTCGTTTAGTACGGATAACTCTTCAAGACACATATCCATCCGAACGTCCCATGTCTTCAGCATGCCCTAGAAATCCCATCGCCACATGTAAGGCATATGAAAACAGCTAAGGTTCCATTACTAAATACAAACAAACCTTGCTGTCACCCGTAGTGACCGTAAGACCGTCATGTGAGACGTGAAGCGCGTTCACCATGGCGTCGTTGGACCAGGTGCGACACACCTCGGAGCGTACATCTACCATATGAAGACAGCATTTGCTGGATCCTAAGAAAAACTGGTTGTTGTCTGCATATTCACACACAGCAGCGTGTCAGTACCCTCCTTCATTTCCACACAATACATGACATTTTTCCTGTACCAGCCATATTGAAGCCCACACACTGGACAAGCCCATCCACCTCCTTGCTACTAACGAGTTGGCTCTTCTCAACGTCCCAAAGCTTCACCGTGTGGTCATAGCTGGCTGACACAAGAGTCGCACTGTCCTCAGCCCAACTCACGTCAATCACGAGCTGCGCGTGTTTCGAAAGCGCCGCCAACTGCGGCTGATTGAATTTAGTAGTCACGTCCCAGAGCATCACTTTGCAATCGAAGCCACCGGACACCAGCAGCCGTCCACAAGGTGAGAATTTAGACGTGTATACGGCTCCTGCATGAGCTCTTAGTGTCGATTTATGCACAAGAACACGAGCATCTCCTTCAGCATCTGTGTCGTACAAATCTCCCTTGGTACCTAGCAACGCCCCCGAACTACCACGAGCTCGACAGAACGACGACTCGGCTGCAGTTTCAGCACTTGGGGCGGCCAGCAAATCTGCGATAGCGAAGGGATCCGCTGCGGCAGCACGGGTCGACGAGGATGGCGCGTGGGCTGAGTCCAATCTGTGAGAGTGATGGTCAGTTTTGTGATTGCTTCAACTTGGTAGAGTTGCCTCTACTTTCTGATATGTCAATTTATGCGAATATAGAGGTATGCAGTACTTAAGGGTAAGCTCGTAGACTGAGCGCTTGAGGTCGTGGTTTTCTCGATCGAGCTTCTCCACGTTTGTTTTGAGCAGTTTGTTTTCCTTTATCAACAGCTAATTACATCAAATGAGGTTTAGATGTAGAATATTAGTAAGAAAGAGAAAAGCAAATGCAGACGAACCTCATACTGGGCACGCAGATGTGCCTCGGACGCCATGCTTAATAAGTCTGAAAAGTCGATGTAGTGTACTCATATTAATTTTCAAAGGCTTTGTCAATAGTAATCCATATCGGTTTGGAGAGGAGATGATAATGGGCCACCTCTGGGCCACATACGAACACGATGACGAAGACACTGACGGTCGGTGTGCTGGCGTTGCAAGGTGCGTTTGAAGAGCACATAGCCATGCTAGAAAATATGAACGCCAAGACTACTACCGGGGAAACTGTAGTCGTGAATGCTGTGGCTATCCGTCTACCCGAGCAGCTGCAGAACGTGGACGCGCTGGTACTGCCTGGTGGCGAGAGCACTACGATCGGGAAGGTAGCCGTGCGCTGGGGCCTCGTCGAACCACTCAAGAAGTGGGTTGCGGACTGTCGTCCTATCTGGGGCACATGCGCCGGCATGATAATGCTCAGTCAACAGGCCAAGCATACGGAAGAGGGTGGCCAGACGCTCATCGGTGGTCTGGACGTCGAAGTCTCGCGCAACTTCTTCGGCGCACAGGTGCACAGCTTTGAAATGCTTGTGGACGGTCCACCGGGCTTTAATGCGGAGCCGTACAACGCCGTGTTCATCCGCGCGCCCGCCATCATCTCTGTAGGCGAGGAGATCGAGGTGCTTTCTCGCGTGGCCAACGCCAAGCCTGTCGACGGCTCTGACCCTGTGGACGTCATTATCGCCGCTCGCAAAAACAACATCCTGGTCACGGCTTTCCACCCGGAGATCACGACAGATACACGCTGGCACCAGTACTTTATTGAGACTGTCGTCCTGCCTCGTGTATAGATTGATGTCCATGTACCATCAAGAGGCTGATAGCTACTAGAGCACGCGAAGCCATAAAATAGCCACGCCAATCAGTTTCGATTACATTATCTGCGAGGTTGGTCCTTCATGTACCTATCAAATGCACAGCCTCAACGCTTGAGCAGCAAGAAAATATATAGCAGAAAAAAAATCTGGTGTCACACTAGAAGGCTTGATAACAATAAAGCCAGAAAGGAATGGAGCGAAGGGGCAAACGCCTCCGCAAATCCTCATGCGTTCCTACACTGTCTAGCCCTGGACCGCATCCAGCGCGATACTCGAGTAATACTTGACGTCCATGTCGGCGTCGTTCACTAGCTCCGTCAGGCAAGGTCTGCACAAATATGAGGCAATACAGTAAGTATTTGCCAAATTTTATGGAGGACGAAAAAAGAGCGAGAAGCCGCTGCCGATATGACGTACCTGACTTGAGCCACGACCACGGAAGCATCTGCAAGTTTACACAACTGCTCTAAAGTCATGGAGGCCACGAACCTAACGTTAGGGATTTTGTCGTTTGCGCCGCGGATGGCCAGTGTCGTCATGGCGGTTAGCAAGTCACTTGCCACCTTTTCCACGGCCATCTGCTTCAGCGCATGTAGCACGTTGACGCGCTCCTGGTAGATCACGGACTTGTCGAAGATCTGATTCAGGCGCGGCATAATGTTCTCAAGGATGTAGTCGCTACCCAGAGACTCTAGTAGCTGCGGCAGGACCTTCGTTGCACTCAAGCGAACTTCGCCTACCATGTCCGTGAAGGCGCTAACACAAATCTCCAGCAGATGCTCCTGGAAATATTGAGCACCCAGACTGCCGGCAAGAGCAGGGATAGATAAGATCACAGCCTCACGCACACGCCACTGCAGGTCACGCGCCAGGTCAGCGATGGCCGGCAGAAGCATTGATTCGAAGGAAGCCATCCACTGAGCTAGAAGTTCCATACGTTTCAGAATGTTTAGCCGCACATCCACGACCTCATCGCGCAAAAAAAGTAGCAGTAGAGGAGCCAGTGTCGACTTGGATGTGACCTCGCCCAGCTTGGGTACAAGTTCCATGCATGCGATGGAAACAGCAGCTACAATTCAAAGTCACAAATTTACATCGAACAGTGTTAACGTTTGATCCACACAAAAACAATACCAACCAATAAAAACACGTACTGCGAACATTGGGCGCCGTGTCCTGGGACAACGCCGACAGCAGCGGAAGGATCTCGCTTGTAAAAAGCTCACTCTTGATAATGGAGATGTAGCCCGACAAGTTCTTCGCGGCGGCAGTGCGCACTTCGGCCTCTGCATCCTACACACAGCAGCGCAAACTATGAGTCGATTAAACTCTTCTGTTTCAATCACTCGCATCACTTTTGTACCTGAAGAAGATTGATGAAGCAACCAAGCAGCTCCGACTCCGTAATCTGCGTTCCCATGGCACGCGAGAGAGGGAAAAAGTTTTTTGCAATGCTAAATCGCACACGCCAAGAGCGGTCCTCTACAGAAGAGCGCACAATAGGAAGCACGTTCATCGAGTTGTCGTCCTCCGAAAGTAGCTCAGCAATGGCCGCCGAGTTCTCAATAGCCAGTAGACGCACGCTGTCCTGGTCGTCCGCCGTAAGTGCCCGAAAAAGTGGCAAGATCATGTTGGCAATATGTTCCTTCTCCATCGCTTCCGCAAACTTGCCAATGTTCGCAGCAGCAGCACGACGCACCATGGGAGTATCATCATTGCACATCATCTGATAAAAGCTTCAAGTCACGAGCTACCAATTAAACCCCGAACCTTTTGACATATAAGTAAAGAAGTACCAGCAACATACTCTCGGAGCTCTTTCTTGCGTCCAGCATCCGTCATCTTGCTGTAAATTGACGCAAAGAGCGAGCACACAGACACGCGGGACGTAAACCAGTCTCCTTCAGCTAGACGCTTGGCCAGGGGCACCATCACATCGCCCACGTTGGGGACCACAGCCACCGTCTTCTGCAGCGACTCAACGGCGCGGTCTCGCACAACGGTCTCCTCTACACCCGCGAGGACTTCGAGAGGTTCCACAAGAGCTGACGCGTGTTCAGCACCACCTACAAGATCTACAAAACCGCCAAGCTCCTCGGCTAGTGCCACAAGCACTTCATCTTCATCTTCTGTAGCTTCTACTCAAGCATAAAATATCTGTTAGTAACTTTCCAATAACATCTCTTTAACGTTATTGTTACATAGGAAGAGCCAGCCACCACCTACCACGAAGGAACGGCAACAGATCCGAGCGAGTACGTTCGGGACCCAGAGCTTGTGCTACAGTACGAAGACGACGCATGGCTTTAATGCGTGTCTCTACTTCATCGCTTTTAAGCTCCTCCGTTAGCAACGTCATTGGATACACTTCGTCCTCTATTGAGTAATAAAATATATACAAAACATCATACGTTAAGAAATAAAAGAACGTGATAGAATTAAAGTACAAAGACACGCATGAACAAGTCGCTAAGGGTCATAACGACGTACCCATTTGTATGTGATAAAAAGGCAGGGGGGGGGGGAAGTCTGTGTCGGGTTGTGGGAAGAAGGCCTTCAGTCGGCCAGCTTGGTTTTCTCTTAAGAGTCCACTGCCTCCCCCCCCCATTACGTGGACCACATGACGCAGTGCCACGATTCATTTTGACGAAGTTTAAGTACCGATACATCAATTCTATCCATATGTCCATATGCGCAGCCCCTTCCCCGAAACCACTTGAGATGACGACGCTTATGTGCGTCGAATGCGAGGATACGGCGGCTACTGTACGCTGTGACGATTGCAAGGATTTGTACTGTCCGCTTTGCTTTGCAGCGCAGCATCACGCTGGCTCCAGGTTGCGTCATACGAAGACAGATATGCCAGAAAACTCCATCAACGTTACTCCCCGTATTAACGTTTGTCCGTTGCCTCTACAAGAGTCTTTTCCGTCTTCTTTAGAGCTGGAACGGATTCCTCTTCCATCTATAAAACTTTCTCCTTCTCCTGTAAAGTCCTTAGTTAATAATAATGCGCCTGTGACGAGCAAATTGGAGGACGACGATGACGAGTTAATGCACGAGATCGAAGAGATGCCATCGGCATTAATGAAGGAAGCAGCGTACATTCCATTACGACTTAATGAGGACGAACGTTTGCTGCTCAACTTGCTGGATGCAGCGCTCAATGTCAGTGAGTACACGGACAAGGTGGACGTCTTGTCCTACCGCTCGCCTGTGAAGCGCGTTATTTACGAACTGAACGAAACGTTTGGCGAACTCTCGGGTCTAATGATTGCTAATGACTTTCGTCAAGGTCGTCGACTTGTGCAGGACAAAAACTTTAAGGACAATGAGGATTTTTTTCGCCAAGTGTTTGAGATTGGACGACGCTATAAAGTGATGAACCCTGAATGCATGCGAAACAACTACGGCAAGATGATTTACTTGCTGCAGGATGCCAACCTGCGGGAGATTAGAACCTATCTCGGTTTCTCGTGCGTAGCACCAATTAAGACGGTGGCATCTTTGCTGGAGGAACGACACGCACTTGACATGCTGCGTGACAAACGCTGTGACGTGGCGACGTCTGTGGCTGCCATGAACGCTGACTTGCTTGCTGACCCAGAAGCATTGCGGCACTTTTCTCATGGCAAGCAGCAGGCTATTGACGAGCTGGTGCGTGACTACTCGTCAGCTTCGTTGTCGGAAGAGGAGATTCGTCTATGTCTGGCATCGATTTCTGACAGCCAGAGCTATTTGGCATCCAACAGATCACCTATTACGCGTATGGTGGAGTATTTAGAAAAGTTTTTTAAACCAGAGAAGGCTGAACCAGGTCTTAGCCTTGAGATACGGGCCGGTAGGAATGGTGCGCGACTTAGTCACAGCCACGCTACTCAGTACGAGTACGTCTTGCAGTCGTTGCTGCTTTGGAAGAATATTACGACATCGATGCTGCATCTGTGGTGGGTTGTGGAGGAGGACTTGCTTCGCGGCAGCATCTATCGGCTTCGTGATACCGGTCAGGGTCTTAACCGCATGCAGCATGCGCCCAAGACGTCTCATTTGGTGCACACGATTTTGCATCACACGCAAAAGATGCGCCCGCGTTGGGTAGGCTCCTCAGCGGTTCATCTCGGTGACCACAACGTGCCCAATGCGCTCATGTTCATCGATAAGTACACACAGATCTCGCGTATATTAAGTCCGATCGTGAATACGGTGCATGACATTCCAGCGCTCGCAGTACAGCCCAATACGCGCGCGTACATTGAGGGTAGCTTTGGTGGTGCCGAGACACTTCAGAAAGAAATCCTGTGCGACTTTTTCAAACACGGATTTGATGGTAGTGGTGCAGACAATTTTTTTGACGCAGGTTCCTGTATTGACGGGCGTCTTACTAGTGCCTGGAATTGGTGTTCTCGGATAGAAAAGAAGACCTTCTTCCATGTGTTTCTCATGGCTGGATTTGTCGGCTTTGATGGACACTTTGAGAAGTAAATTTCGAGCTCGACCAGACGCAAATACAAACATTGACGTCACCAACTGCTTTTACGCGTCCGTCTTGGTGGCCACCTGCTTAGCAAATGGGTCCACTTGAGACATCTTCTCTCCCGCCATGTGAACTGCTTGCCCTCCAGGTGCGAGCAGCGACAGCAGGTAGCGAAGCCTTCCTCGACACGAAGTAAGCTCATCAGCGAGCACTGTCAAAACGGCGAGTCGAGTCGAGAGATTGACTCACTTGGTTACTACGTAACTAGTAACTAATTCAACTTCACTTTTTGGGAACGCCTTCATCTGACGGCCGCAACACTTCAGCCTTCTTTTTGAGACTCTAGATGATAAGAAAAACGAGGCCAGCTTATATTAAAAAATGATAGTTGTGTTGGTGGCCGGTCTCGGTAGGCGTGTAATGCGTTGCTGCTAATGTAGACGGCGAGCTGTACTGATGCTGCTGCTGCTGCTGCTGACAGTATGTGGAATTCTGATGGTGCTGATTCCACATCGAGAGCTCCATGGTCTTGTGGTCTGATGATACCGCCATGTTTGCGTGGTGTGTGGGATACATTGTTTGCTCATTGCCATACTCGGTCGCCTCGTCGTTTCCAGACCCATTCGTAAAGTGCGCGACATGTTCCAGCACCGGTTCGATATCGGACAGCAGGTGTTCCAAATAGAGGTCGTCGTGTGCGTCATGGACTTGGCCGTGGTCTTCAGACTGCTGTACCTCGTCTTTGAATTCTAGTTTCATGATATGCATCGGTTTACAACCGTCTCTGTCTTTGTCTTTCTTAATAACCTCAGGTTCCGTCGGAGACATTGGCGGTGATTCGTATCCGTTGCTACCTTCACCTGGAGTGGTCACCGATGCTGACGCGCTCGAATTGGAACCTGTCGAACCGATTGAGTCACTCCGCACACGACGTTTCCAGCGACTGAGCTTCTGACGCAGCTTTTGTGCATGAGTCATCGCTTGACGTGTGGATTTGGAACCAACGTAGACGGCAATGGCCGTCCATGGACCTTGTGGAAAGTGCTGAATAGCCTCCCAAAATCGACGCTGCTCGGCTGGAGACCACGCGTTTTCACCTGGTTTGGGTACTGTGAATTGGGTGGGAACGAGTTTGGCTTGATGCAATTCGGTCATGACCTTGGGTGAGATCATTGGCATTGAATGCGTACTTAGAGTACGAAAGAGTAATTGAGTTATTGTACGAACGTGTTGATATAGTGATGGTACTAGCAAAATGACCTTTGACTTGGTGAGTTAATCGTACAATGAGACCAAAGACACATGGCTCAAGAGTTGGTTTCGATGACACAAAAGTCTACTGTTTTTCTACTAATACCCGAACATAATCGACTTGAATAGCTGTAACAAGAGACGGTGTCGTAGATTTAGAAAAAAGGCGTACTCAAGAGAAATGTATGAGAAAAGATACGTTTTAAAATTCGGAGTGCCGGATAAAAAAAACACGGCGAAAAGTCGACATTGGGGACGCTAAATAGAGAATGATCGTCATGACAATTACAGGGGCTTGTGGCTGCTACATTGGAGCGTTACGCACCGGAATGTACTAAAACCGGGACGTCTCGAATACCATTTTACTTTCCATCCGATACGATGAGAATGCTTGCCCTACCGTTGCACAATCGAGGATGTCATGGAAACTGAGCATATCGATCACATTTCACGACAATCAATGTTATGCCTTCACAGAACAGATCTCAAACGTTGATTCAGAACCGAGATGAATATTATAAGCCATGGTGGTAAAAAGTAGAGGTGTTCATTATGCGACACGTTTGCGTGCGGTTTCTTAACGTGTGGTACTCCTGCGTCTGTACACTGCTTTTTGACGGGGAAGCGGACATCAAACGTGCTTGATCACTTGACGAAGCCTTGGCTTTGCTACGTGAGTCTGGCCACTATCTTGTAACGATTTGATTCCCACCACCGGACCAGTATTGAAAGATATGCGATCCTAAATATGCGATTCAATGGCACAAAATAGGTGTCGATTGGTACTGTATGCCAATGAAAGAGACCACCACGAATATCTTATTCTTGTACATAATTCTCACGAAACGTATGCAATGAGATTTTGTCTATCAGTCAACATTTGGCAACATTTTATTCGTAAAAAAGGTAACCCTTGTTAGATGGGGTTACTCATGGTGTCGTAGAAACACACCCAATTTGCAATATGTACTATAAGGGGCTTTGTTTGTGGATTAGAAATAGATGTGTACTACATAGTATATACCGTCTCTTAACAGTACAAAAATATATGACTTACTGCTAGACAATGCAGGACCGACTCTCAACACTGTCAAATAAATGCTTCCTCTTTGCTGATCGAAATAATTAATCCAGCCATGGACTGTTTTATTTCTATTTCTCTTTGTTGCGTTCAACATTGAGTGTCGCATTTCTTGTCCCCTACTCAGCGTCTTCAACGCTAGATCAGGCAACAGACCGAATCTTTGTCTATTTCCGGGAATTTGTCGTCTCTTCACCACAATTTTAAGCAAATCTTACAAGTGCTTCTCCCACTGAGTCTCTGAGTCTGAGCACCTTCGTAGACGCTGCTTCATTGCTCGTCAGACTCCTTCGCTTCGAGCTGTAGTGCGTCAAAAGCCACATGCTCCGTGTCCTTTTCGCACCTCGAGATCTAGACTTCTCAATTGTCACATGTTTGTTACAAATAAACAGTAAGAGATGCAGAACACGAACTCGGATCGGATGACGATCGTCGGCAGCAAGCGAAACTACCTAGACGCATTTTACTCACTCCAATGTCTCCCAAGGTGACAGTCCAAGAGCCAGCGATAATTGCAATAACGCTCCAGTATTCTGATCCACAATACACTCGTTGGATCATTTTGTTTGCGAAGACAATGCTAAAGCAACAAATTTCACGCTGAATGCGTGGTTCAGATCTTTTTCCACGAGAACAAGGCTTTCAAGACAAAGCTATAGCGGTGCCAACGTTCCGCTAACTCGGGACGAGTTTATGTGGACGGTTCACAACGTGAAGATAGTGCTCTCGGTTACATGAAGGCTGGCGCTGCATGCAAACTCCGCCTCCTTTAGTGTGAGTAATAAGGCGTCTGCTACTCACGCAAAGTGGTAAGCTTGAGAATCTACTGCGTGCTGCGTATCAAGTTAGCAGTACATGAAATCACGCATACAAAAATTGTATCGTATCTCGTGAAACACTTGGAAGAAGAATTAGCCTCAGCTGCATGGAGTAATGGTCTGGCGTGCTCTAATTTGCCTAAAGTGATACTGCCTTGACTAATAACTTCTCTTCGATACTAAAGAGAAGATATCAGTCAAGGCAGGCCGGTTCTAGTGCATGTCGTTTCAAAGGACATGCATGATAAGAGTGGCTTATAGTAATACTTTCTGATGCATGTCCTACTGTTAGATGCCTCGGGGCCCAAGGGTCTCGCTTGGTCGAATTTTGTCTCTTCTTTATTGCGTACATTCAATGTGGATACATTTTTTACGATACAGTAATAACAGCTGACGATACGACACAAAGCGAGAAAAACCGTTTTTACGGCGGTATGTTTTTCGACAGGCTTTGTGGACAACGGCTGTACATCCTTTTCTTGCGTGGCCCACACCATGTTTAAAAAAAAACGACAAAAAACCAACAAAACGATTAAAATGCTGAAAAAGAAGGAAAAACTCGAGCAAATGCGTGAGCTCGGACGTGGTGGTCTATCAAAGGGATTACACTTTCTTCGATCTGCTGCTGTTAATTCTTCTGTAGAGAATAATGAGACGTTGATGTCTAGTACAGCGTCCGAAGGCGAGAGTGAAACGCAGACGACAAATCGTATGACGTATGATGAGTTAGTGGCGCTTAGTATGAAGTTAACGAGGCAAAATAAGCTGATGAAGGTCCAGTATCAGAAGAATCAGAACAACTTGATAGCAGCCGAGACGAATAATGTGGATGTCCAGATACTACGAGGTTTTTTAGAGCATGAGGTGGGATTGGACGTGACGGCGTGTGTCAAGAAGGCCAGTAGTTTATCTGGAGGTACTATTGATATGAAGGCACTGACTGAAAAGTACCGTATCTTGGCGGCATTAAAACAGCAGGAATTACAACACGAGACGAAAGCGCACGTGGCTGTAGAGAGTGTGAATTTATTGGAGTTATCACCTCTTGTGACAAAGAAAAAGTATGAAGAGATTGATCTAGTAGGAGATACAGGAGAGATGAAACAGATGAACGAGGTCATGGAACAGATAGAGAGAATGAGTGAGCAGTTGAAACAAGGGACTGAGTACACGAAGAAGCTTGAGCAGAAGTTAGCCGAGAGAGACGAGCAACAAGAAGTTGCAAGAAGAGTGCTAGAAGAGGAAATAATGAGGCTAAAGGAACAGGAAGAGCAGTGGCGGGAAAAGTGGGAAGAACAGAGCAAACTTGTGGATGAGTTGATGGGCAAACAAGAACAAGGGGCTGCTGTTTCCACTGCATCTACGATAGCTTCAGAAGTGGAAAACGAAGTGATGCAGGAGACGAAAGCACTACTGGAGGTGCAACGAGCTGACTTGGAAGCAGCAAATGCAGAGAATAAATGTCGTTTGGAGCAAATCCAAATGCTGCAAGAAACTGCTTCTACTACTGGCGTGTTGCAGGACAAAGTGAAGGAGAAGATGGCGACCGCGTTAGAAGCGCAACAATCTGTGCTAGAGGCGACAAAGGCTGAGAATGCGAGGCTTCAGGAACAAGTCCAAGCGCTGCAGGAAGCTTCCTCTACTATTATCTTGTCGGAGGATGGAGTGAAGGAAAAGGTGTCGACCGCGTTAGAAGCGCAACAGTCTGAGCTAGAGGCGGCAAAGGCTGAGAATGCGAGGCTTCAGGAACAAGTCCAAGCGCTGCAGGAAGCTTCCTCTACTATTATCTTGTCGGAGGATGGAGTGAAGGAAAAGGTGTCGACCGCGTTAGAAGCGCAACAATCTGAGCTAGAGGCGGCAAAGGCCGAGAATGCGAGGCTTCAGGAACAAGTCCAAGCGCTGCAGGAAGCTTCCTCTACTATTATCTTGTCGGAGGATGGAGTGAAGGAAAAGGTGTCGACCGCGTTAGAAGCGCAACAGTCTGAGCTAGAGGCGGCAAAGGGTGAGAATGCGAGGCTTCCGGAACAAGTCCAAGCACTGCAGGAAGCTTCTTCTACTATTATCTTGTCGGAGGATGGAGTGAAGGAAAAGGTGTCGACCGCGTTAGAAGCGCAACAATCTGAGTTAGAGGCGGCAAAGGCCGAGAATGCGAGGCTTCCGGAACAAGTCCAAGCACTGCAGGAAGCTTCTTCTACTATTATCTTGTCGGAGGATGGAGTGAAGGAAAACGTGTCGACCGCGTTAGAAGCGCAACAATCTGAGCTAGAGGCGGCAAAGGCCGAGAATGCGAGGCTTCAGGAACAAGTCCAAGCGCTGCAGGAAGCTTCCTCTACTATTATCTTGTCGGAGGATGGAGTGAAGGAAAACGTGTCGACCGCGTTAGAAGCGCAACAGTCTGAGCTAGAGGCGGCAAAGGGTGAGAATGCGAGGCTTCCGGAACAAGTCCAAGCACTGCAGGAAGCTTCTTCTACTATTATCTTGTCGGAGGATGGAGTGAAGGAAAAGGTGTCGACCGCGTTAGAAGCGCAACAATCTGAGTTAGAGGCGGCAAAGGCCGAGAATGCGAGGCTTCAGAAGAAAGTTAAAGCATTGCACCAGACGACGTCGATTTGGACTTCTGAAGCACAGATGGGGGATGCTGAAGGCATTATCAACTCACTGCGTGCAGAAATTGATTGTTTACAAGGTATGGTGGCGGCAAAATGCGATAGCGAAGGCTTACAGCAAGAACTTGCGGTATTGAAGGAGCAAGCGCAAATGCTACAGGAAGAGTTATGTCAAAAAGACTCGAATAATGCGGCTGATGCCGTCTTGATGCAAGAGCTGGAACAAATAAGACTAGCATCAGCGGAGCAAGCTCACGAGATGCACGTATTGCAAGAAAAGCTATACGCTGCTGAAGAGCGCTTGGCTAAGGCAAACAGCGACGGTGAAGCCACTCAGTCACTCGTGAAGGCCCTTAAGGATGACACGAGTCGTTTGGTTGACCAGGTAACTCAATTTGAAGAAAAGCAAGTGGCTTCGGAAGAGAAGATCTCAGCATTGACTGAAGTAAAACGCGAGCTCGAGGAGCGGCAAGAACACGCACACGAAGCGAAAGCGACGATGGAGAAACAGCTGGAGGAGGAACGTGCCTACTGGACTTCTAAGCTTGAAAATCTGATTAGCGACACTGATGCGGCGAAGAGTAAGACTGAAACGCTCGAGGCTAAGCTGCGTAAAAAGGAGAAGCAAGTTACAAAGATGGCAGCTTCTCAGACATCGATGACATCAGAGCTAATCGAGTTACAGAAGCAGGTAACTAGCATGCGCGAAGATCTATCGATGGCTGCTGAAGGCCTCGAGGCGCACGCCACAAAGGCCGAGGAAAGTGAGCGCCGATATCTCCAGAGTGAGAAGGAGGTGGCGAAATTGAAGAAGCAACTGGATGAAGTGCACGAAGAGCACCATGCAAATTTTGAAATGCTGCGTCAAGAAAAAGAAGCTGAATTGAAGAGTGTTCATATTGAGCGCCGTGCATTGAGTAAAGAGAAGAAAAAGCTTTTGCGTGAAAAGGAAGAGCTTCAGGCTCGGTGCAAGGGACTGGAATGCGAGCTGGGGATGGCGCGCAAGCATGAAGAGGAGTTAGAAACATCTTTGAGTGACAAGACGTTCCAAGTGGGCAACCTGAGCGCAGATTTGGCTGAGAAAAAGAAATCTCTGTCTGATCGCATGGCACTTGCGACAAGATTGCAGACTGAAAACATGGACATGGCCGGTAAGCTGGCAGAGCAGGTGGTCCTCATTGAAAGCGCGCTACGCGATGCAGCGAATAGCAAGGCTGCGCAATGTGAAATGGAGAATCAGGTGCAAGTCGCCAAAGCAGATGTACAGCGGATGAAACAAAGTGAAGCCAAGGCCATACACGATCTTGAGAACGTACAGCGCGAGATGGTAAACAAAGATGAAAGCTTTCAGCTGGAGCGGGAGAAGACTAAAGAAGTATTGCAAGCTGCCGTGAGAAATGAAAAACAAAATTTTAGACGCGAGTTTGAGCGCCTCGAAGCCGAGAGCAAACAGAAATCGAAGTTGGCGCTGCAAGCGGTCCTACAAAAGGAAAACGAGATTACACGACTTCGTGCGCGCCTTGATGAATTGGAGGAAGATGTTCGCTCGGGTGGTGCGGACAATCGTAAAATCCTCGAATTTGCTGAATTGCAAGCTAAGCGAGAGGTAGAGGCAAGGACGCAAGCAGCGCAAATGCAGGCACTGACTGAGCAGCTCGAGGAAGCTTATCGTGAGCTGCAGGAGTTGCGTGAGAATAAGCACCGTCATGCTGAGGAGCTCAATGCAATGCTGCAGGATCAGCGGCGTGACGGTGTTAACATGGAGTACTTGAAGAATGTGGTCGTGCAATACATGTCCTTTCAACCAGGCTCTTCACAGCAGGAACGACTAATTCCCGTACTATCTACGTTGCTCCAATTCACGGCCGCTGATGTCAAGGAGATTAAAGATGCAGCGACCCGTGGTAATAGCTGGACATCGTGGAGGAGCAGTGACGCCAGTCTTGATTACAAACCTATCGTCGTAGGTGGTAGCCACCGTCACCCGATGTCTCCTGCATCGTCTGCCACGGGGCGAACATCTACGCTTGCCAGGATGGCCTCTGCACCTATGTCGCCTCCAGAGTCATCTCGAGCGTCTAGCTTTCTCTTGCCGAACGGCAGTAACGGTGAGTCAACAGAGCGCTGATTTCTAGGCACGAACTAAGCGCCTAGAATCGCTGAGGCCAACAGACAGCGTAACTAGTTAGAGGGTGGAGAAGCGTGTGTAAATGAATTGTTGCGCTTCGTTAGAAAAGCATCATGCATGGAAACAGATACGACGTTCAGTTTCGCTCTTGTACGGCGAGATCAAGAGTGTCCCATCATGCTCTTGCGGTTCATGATGAGCTCTGATGTCCGCCTGTAAGCAGGAAGTTAACAGCATTAGCCAAGAATAAGAGGAAGCAAGACGACGCTAGACTAGAAAAGCGAACGTACTTTCGCGCAGCATCATGGCGTGTCATTCTACGCGTGCGTTCGCCCTCCTGGGGTGCAATACCAGCGCCAGAGTTGGCAGTGGCAATGGCCGCAGACAAAGGCGCAGTAGCAAGAAAACTTTGGTGTCGAGAAAGCGATGCGATGCGGTTCACACTGCCCCAGTAACCGGTGGCAGCATTCTTCTTGAGCTCAAGCTTGCCGTTGGTGCTGCACAATAAGCGCATCCACTCCAAGCAGTGATCTGGTTCGGACACAAACAAATAAAGTTAATACGACCTCCAGACAACCTTTTCTGTCGCAACATGCTTACCGAAAGAATCACACTTGATGATCATACGATCAGGAACGGTTTGTATCACGTCTTTTGTGGCATTTATTTGCGGCCGTAACGTAATGACACAAGCGGACTTGCAGTTACTAGTCTCCGCTTCTTCCTTTTCGTCACACGCACGAACCTCCACGATATCCTTAATAGCAAAGGAGCCCAAGATGTCGGGCTCTTCATCGTACATATGCAGCGCAAGCGACATCATGAGCACACGCGAGCTCGTCAACACGAAATACTTCGGAATCCACTTGCGACCGTCCCAATCCTGAAGGTTCGACGAGTATATGACGGCAGATTCAATCTGCAGACGCAACAATTCTTCGTTATCCTTGTGCGTCGAAAATGTGACGCCACGGCTGATGAACACGCCTGTGCCAAACGTGTCCTCCTTGTTTTTGCCAGACTCCAATTGATCATAGGCACGTTTTACATTAAGCAACGAGTTGCGCCACATGACAGCTTCTTGGTCCGTGCGTGGAATGATAATCACACTGGTAACCGATCCAAGAATGAGCTCAACAGCATTTTCAGGCGAGTTGATGTATGCAAAGCGCACATCAACAAGCGCGCGGCAATCAATAACACCGTAGCGAATGGCGGTTGCTTCATCTGCAAGCACTTCGTGCTTGTAAATTGATAGCTCATAACCCCACTGCATGAAGTAACGCAGACGCAGACGCTCTTCCTTGGAGGTGCGATAATAGAGCCATCCACTAGAACTGAACTCACTAGCCGATACTGCCAGATCAGAAACAGGTCTTTTTGAGGGCACTATTGGGCCAATCGGTAATCCAGGAGTTGCAAAAAACTCGTCGTCACTGTGATCGAACGTTGAGGTCTTGAGCAATTCTTTTGGCAGCACTTGAATCTCACCCAGAGGCGACAATGTCGCATTGCCCTTCAATGACATCGAATTCGTGCAGCAGTCGTAAATTGCGTGAGCCCATTCTTTTAGCTGCTCCTCAGTGTCAAAAGCCAACAGGAAGGCGTAAAAGTCACCAATCTGGTCCGTCCGTGAGCTCTCTTCAGCAGCCGTGGGAACCGCAAAACTCACTTCTAACTGATAGAAATCGGCTTCATCTTTGCTGCGCGTCCACACCTTAGACACTTGAAGGTGAAAGATACAAGGCAGCGAGATCATGCCAAGCATGCGACCACCCTCTTCTGTATAGAAGATGAGCTGATGATTGCGCAGAGAGATGTAGCGACGACGGAACACCTGGTAGAGCCGATCGAGCTTCCATATCCAAGCCTCTTTAGGACGAGTACTTACCCAGTAATCAGCGTGTGGTGCCTTCTTCAAGACTAGATCGCCACAGCAGCACATTACCAGCATCCAACGCTTCGCAAGCTTTGCGCTTTCTGCAACCAATCGCACCTCCTTTTCTCCTTTCACCTTCACCACAAAGCTACCCAAATCCAGCCCATCTGAATGCACCTCTTCGATCTCTTTGAGGGATATTGCGTCAATAGCGTCACCCCATTCACTTTCGTAATCATTTTGAGAATCGTAGTACCGGAAAATACCGCTAGAGATTGCCGCAAACACTTTCTTACCCGCTATCTGAATTTCGCCACCAATTCCCGTATAATCAGCTGTCAGCAATGTGCCCGCACCAGTGTGAGTTGTCGATTGCCGCTCCTTTGCGATGCCCGCCACGGCAAGACGATTCGCTTCCTTCGAATTCACGTCCTGGCTCGCAATGCTGTTCGAACCTTTCGACTCAGGAATAGACATCATTACCCCTGCAGTGTTCAGCACCATTCGTTTAACATCATTTGTCGCGGCTGTATTGTCAGCCGGCCGATAGTAGTAGTCGGACAGCCAGATCAACGCCGATAGCCACGCTTCCTTCTGCTCATAGCTCTCCGCAACCAGCTGAGCAAGCACAATAAGCAGACACAAATTTGTCAGTATACAGGGGTCACAGCCAAAGTACAGATAAAGTTCTTACCATCCAGGCAATGTCACCAGCAGTGGTAAGCTGAATCGTGAAGTCAAGGTTTTCCATAAAACCCGATTCAGCTTCCCTTACATCCTTAACATTGCGAAGATCGAGCATGCTTGCATACGAATGCAAGCTTTCCTCCTCGAGCACCTCGTACTTGAACAGCATCAGTTTGTTATCAATAAGAACGAGAAACCGAGGATGGTATGCACTCATGCCCACGCTTTGCGTTTTTTTTACGTAAAACCATCCACGCGTGGCCGCCTTTAGTGTCACATCCTTTAGACTGTGGTATAGACGTAATGATTCTTGTACATTCGGATCGATGTACTTGGATGGATTAGATATCAGTCGTGATATCGTTAGTCGCGTCATAGGCGTTTCCGAATTCCTCGGCGCGTACGTTTGGCTATCACTGCGCGAAGCACGTCGACTGATAGACGATAGGTCGTATTCCTGTCCCGTGAGGCGTTTGGCCTCCTTGCTGACAGCAATTCCCCACTTCATCATTTTTTCCTGTGTAGCAAAGCACATGACGAATGGGCGGCGATACTTCTGCACTGAGCTTTGAGCCAAAATTTCCAGCTCTAGCCGCCATGGCATCATTTTTTCTTTTGAGCCTCCAGTAATGGACGGAGTGACGCAGCTAGAATCACCATCCGCAGCCGTATCAGCCGTATCATCAGTGACCTGACTAGGTACAATGCTGATAATATTATCACAGCGTAAGACGCCGATCGGACGCGTGCGTGTTGCAGCTGAGTCGGCGTTGACGTAGTACATTATCTTGCCATCCTCAAGCAGAAGGAAATAGTGACACACGAACGTTGGCAGGAAGTCGCCTATCTTACCGACATCATCTTGTAGCACTACCTTGGGCTCAAGGACGGGATCAAACTCCACAACTGCCACGGGGTGGACTGGGATAGACAACCTCTTCGCCTTGGGTGAAAACAGCGGCGAGTTTTTGAGCAAATCGATCCACTGCACCATATCCTCCCGGCACTTCGTATAAAACGTAAATATACTTTGTGATCCCTCCAGTGTGATACCCCACTGCTTAGGGTGGCATTGAGTAAACGCCGTGACGACTTCGCGTGTATCATTCGTAGGTCGGATGTCCGTCACTTGTTCCATCCGGATAACCAAGCATGGTTCATCAACTCTTCCACCCTGCATACTGGGCTTGTACAGCTTCAGTTTGTCACCATGCAGCTGTAGCATACGAACGCGGTACCGGTGCGCCGACGGCTCTTTGGAAAGCACCCAGCCTTCTGCAACACGAGTGGTATCCGCAGGTGGTGCCGTGGTGAAGTCAATCCGAGAAAACCGCAATGTTAGTGGTCGTTCAGCAGCACGAATCAAATCAACAGCTTGCTGGAACTCAATGTTTGTAAAGTAATGGTTATTGATCGAAATCAACAAATCACCCACCCGAATAACGCCAGACGCTTCTGCAGGTCCGAGCTCTCCACCGGGTCCCATACCTTCCAGAAATCCGCACACCATCACTTCATCGTCCACGGTCCCTCGCAGAATCAAATTCAACGGACCAGGTTGATCAAACGTAACCGTGATAATTTTCTCCTTGACATCATCGTCTCCTTGACTCTTTGAGTCACTATTGTCTCCTAGGCCACCCGTAAGTGTTCCCGTCATCCGCATTCCATTTGCGTCCGTAAATCTCGATCCCTGTGTCAATGCCGTTTTTCTCGCTGCACTTGGTCTTGGAATGACTGAACTACCTCGAATAATGGACGATTCCGGTCGTAGCATTAACTTGGGTTTATATTCACCCCGCAACTACAAAAAACACACAAAAAACCCATTCGAACAATTGGTTTCAATCATAACTACTCTCTTGTCCTACAAATGAAAAAAACACACACACGAGAACATATCGAAATCATACCACTAATGTCAATACTGTCGCCCAGCGTACCATATCTTCTCTATCATTCCCCGCAATCGTATAAATTCGATCCGCACAGACCTTTCAAAAAAAAACCCAAAAACCCAAAAAACCCACTTTAGTAACCCCTTCCAATCACCCAACTCCACCTCTCGCTTACCAAATCCAGTGCATGTTCTGGAGCGTCTGCTACACTCGAAGGTAAAACTGCATTTACTGACGTTAAATGAATAGCCCCCAATTCCTGTTCCTCAGTGCTGGTTTTAAAATACCGTAAGATCATCCCATCGAGAACAAACCATCGAACCCGATACGTATTCCCAGGTAAATGCAGGTGTAATAAACGAGAACTATTGAGTTTTTTCCCCCCAGCCCCCACATGTTGGGCTTTTCGTTTAAAATCGGGTTTTAATAAAAAACCCTTGGGATTTTCAAGCCAATCCGTATGAATGGCCCCCGTGATCTGCATCTGATGCACTTCTCGTGATAATTTCTCGTAGGCATTTTCGGGACCACCCGAAGCACCGACAGCGGAATCAATTGTGCCTGCATTGACACCTCCGATGGCGCTTGCACTCAAGTCCGTCGTCATGACTTTGGTGATCGGTTTGAGGGGAGTACGCGTAACCGTAGGGGTACGAACAGTGGAAGACAAAAAAGACAAAAATGGGTTTTTTTGAAATGGCTACACGTGTTGATGAGGACACAGTGAAAGTCACAATATCATGTAGGCCACGACATTTTAAAACGCCACGACAATACAGAGGCTACGACATTTTGAAAGGGATGACAATACGAAAGCCACGACGTGTTGAACAGTACGACATTAACAAAAGCCACGACATTTCAAGAGGTATGTCAAACACGAAAGCCACGACATTTTGACAGGTATGACAATACGCAAGCCACGACAGATGGAACGTCGCGACACGTACGCAAGCCACGACAAATCCGACCGCAAAGTCAAGACATTATTCAATGCCACGACAACAATTAATCATGCAAAAAAAACGTCTCTTTGCCATTCATTCTACAAAAGTCTTGGGGCCTTCCGGACATCCACTTTACAAAGTCGGACACAACCGAGCATTTGTTCCGGTAATTCATGATCTTCCTGTCCTTCTAAGACAAACCCAAAGTCGACAATCATGTTACAAGCATGAGTTGAGACGCCCACGAGCCCTTTGCGTGCAATATAATTGAATTCGTGTGCATTCACATCGACCTCAAAGTATCCGTCGCCACGGTAGAATTTGTGCTGTGGCCGTGTGAGAATTGGCTGCCCATTGTACGTTTCAAGCAAACGACACTCCGCGCGTCCTAATTGCTGCTCCTGTGGGTTCACGACAATTCCAATCGCTTTAAATCGCTCGCTCTATGCAAATCAAGAGATTCATCAAGTACACTATCATTCCATGGCAAACACAACTGTGCATGGAAAAATCAAAAACAAAACTTACAACCCAAGTCTGACCTTCCACGAAGCTTTTAAGTAGCTGACAAACACATAACAATATTAGGTTAACATGCCATCGAGAACACATGAACCAAGTACATCCAATACGGATCCAACATACGTACACGAACAGCTTGAAGAGGTGGTTCACCAGGTCTGTTGAGCATCTCTCGAACTGCTGGAGGGATCGCAAAATACGTCACAAAATTAAAACCAGCTCCGTCTCCTTGTTTATCTCCCCACAGCGGATTCGAAGGTTGGTAAGAAGGGACTTGACAATTCACGATGAATAGATCCAGGTTTCCTCTACATCACAAAAAACAAATAAAAACATTCACAAATATGGTCGTGCAGAGCTGAAAACCAAGTTTGCGACTCACGTCGTGGGTTTTAGAACGCTGAGATCGACGATGCTGCCGATGTTGTCTGCTTTGACATCCGACTAACCGATCATGCAAGAGTTGTCAGGAAAAGCTGAGGTACAACCACGCGACAATGGAGACTTACCTGATAGACATCAACAGCGACAAGTTCCAATAATGCAGGCGCCGAAGCCGCTTTGAGTTTCGTCTTGCGATAGTTAGGACCTGAAGAAGAATGGCAGTATTGCGTTAGTTTCGGTCATGAAACGTGTTTTCTGCAAGTTGTACCAGACCTTGGCGAACGTTAAAGTGGGTCGCGTCGACGTGCATCCAGCACCCAGATACAATTTCTGCTGCACACATCTTTAACGAGGCACCAGCCGACGTTTTTACTCCATTAATTTTACCCAAAAACGTGGCACGCTTGGGCAGTTGGTCGTCACTTGTAGTAGCGGATGTTTGTGATGTCACAGATCCAGATCCCAGCTTGGAACTTGATGTCTCTCTCGATACTTCAGAGCCGCTCGTAAAGCCTGTCGATGACGCTGGTGATAACATTTCATGTGTCACAATAGCTCGCGGACGTGATGTCGTTCGTGAGGACACATGAGGCTCAGGTTTTCGAAACCACAGTAGCCATACACACGTCACGTTGGTCAATAGAACGACAAAGCACCACGCAGACACGCTTCCAAATTGCACGAGTACTGTAATGTACCAACAGGATCAAAATGTTAGTCAAATGTCATAACGACTGACAACCTCAGAGTATCACCAATAAAAGGATTCAGAGCGAGTAGCACATTTTTGTTGCTGCCAACCCAGTTGTACATCTGTTCACAGCTCATAAGTCAGCACAACAACAAACAATTCCCCAAAACATCGTCTTGGCGTCTAATTACCTGCTTCATCACTTGTTTTGGCGCAATCTCCTTCCTCCCATTTTGAGCTGTCAGATCCTTTGTCTCCACCACTTTTTCCTTCACTGTTGGCAATTGCAACGATGATGACACGTCAGCAGCCAAGGATGGCGACAAGGGACTCGCCATTCTCGTCGGAGCGACCTTTGTCTCCCCCACTCTCAAACCAGCCCTCGATGGACTAATAACAGCTGAAATAGCCGTTGTCCATTGTCTGAATTCAGCTTTTGTGTCTGCACAGAGTCGAATTTCTTGCTGTCCTTCAGCCAAGACAGTAAAACAAAAAGGGGTTGGAACTCCTGGTGGCAAATCGCCCTGGACGACCAGAGAAACTCCCGTCTGCTTGAGTGATAGCACGCCATGAGCATCTTGTCTTGAGGACACACTTTCTAGAGGTGAAGCATAGCGAAAGTAGCGCAAAATGCCATTTTTTCGGTCTAATACAAACCAGCGTTGGTTCCAACGTTTGCGTTTCCATTTACCGGCACTTTGTTTTAGCAAATACGCAGAAATGGGAGCAAGAGACTTGTCACTGGATTGAGACGACATCTGAAGCGATGACAATGGTAAAGCAATGAAAGTTTGTGAGGAAGAGGACATGCTGACTACCTCTTGAATTAGAAGATGGAGGGGGACGTCGAGTACTGACTGAGTTCCCCTTAAAATAGCGTCACGACTCCTTATGTAGGTATATGGTGGATACTTAGTGATGGGATCCTCCCGTTATTGAATCTTGCATAAAAAGTGGGTGTCACCTTTACAAAACACATTTCTCATAGCTAGTCCGATAAGGTCACCATTGATTATTTTTTACCAATTTACTACTGACAAAAGGGCCATCTACTGCATCTTTAGTTTCAGAAAAACATGAACGTTCCTCTAGTCTTAACGTATAGGAATGCGACGTCATTTTCAAGTGTCACTTATTGACTGCTAGACTGACGCATTGAACCATTTTTGTTGTCGTCTTCGTCCCATTCCCGCGACAGACGCTTTTCATTACAACGTTTCTATTGCGTTTGATCCGACGTTGGGCTTTAGTCAATGCGACAAACGTCACACTTGTAATCGCAGTATCTACCTCAACACAATAAAACAACATGCGTGCTTACTATTTCTGTTGGCAAGAAGCACACTTGCTCAACTCGCGGAATTTGGTGAACGGACTAACCTTTAGTAGGCGACTGCTGTATTATTACTACTGCTTGATACAGGAATACACTATGTAAGCACACGTATGAAGTACTCAGCAAAATTAGGATATAGCATCTCTCTACGGGTATGAAATTACTACTACTTTTATCAATTCGTACTATTTCGTCGCTTTGCCCCTGTGCATAACTATTCCACTGTCGTTTTAGAGCCCATTTATAGAATTGCGTTTCTATTATAAACCAATCAGCACACGACGTACGCACAACATTCTATCCAGCTGGCTTTCTATCATTAAATAATACCAAATTTCTATACATACTTTCACTTTTTGTTTTTATCATGCGACTTGTATTCGGGTCATTGATGGTAGTAGTACCATTAAGTGTCTCTGGCATCTCTTCCTCCATCTCTTGGTGTTTAAATTCAACTGCTACTGCTGTACTTACTTATTGTGGTGATCTATGTTCTACAAGTGACCCTTGTGTCCAATTTACGACCTTATCCAGTTGTAATGAAGCTTCACGGAATGAGTGTGTCCGTCATAGTTCGTCCTGTTCATATCAATGTTTAAACGCATACAATTCAATTGCAAGAAAGTTTACAGTTTTTGTTAAAGAACCGGCATCTTCTGATACGTGGACATCTGATCCCAGTGGCAATTCCGCTGCTGCTTTTCCAAGTGCCGAGATTGATACAATAAATGGTGTTCAATACGATGAAGCGACGAGAAATATGTACGTCTGATAGGAATGTGTTATATGTAACAAGGTGATGATTTTCATGGGGTTACGATTCGTAGGAGCTAATTGTTGTTTCTCTCTCTTTTTTTGTGTAGTCAGATTACAGGATTTGATGAGACCGATGTCCAAAAAGGATCACTAAAGTTTGTGACGTTTGATGAAAATACTTTTGCAACAGCGACCGTATTGGAACAATTGTAACGTTGGAGTTTTTTTTATGTTATGGTTTTTATTTGATGTGGTGTTGAAGACTGACGCGGTGTTTTCTTGTATGGCTACAGGATCTTGACGAATTTGGATCTTGGATCACTTCCTACTGGCTTTTTACCGACCACAATTTCTCTATTGTAGGTTATTGCGTGCAGGTATTTTCATGCACGACTAGCTGAATTTCACTGACAGTATTATGGGGCTCTTCTTTCCTTCTGATTTGTATAGAACGATGGAGAATTGTAATTTGGCCAGTTTACCGTTGCAGTTGGGCAACCTTGCAAACAAGAATTTGGTGACGCTGTGAGTTTCATTTTGCTAGTTTGAAAAAGTCGTCCATTCAGAAGGTCGTGGTTGTAACGTTCGGCTTCTGTGGCACAGTAACCTCAACAAGAACACCATGACTAGCGTGACAGATACGGACAGCTCGGTAGCGGAGACTCTGCGAGGGCTGACCACACTGTACGTAAATTTTGTTTGCTTGTGCTACCAAGTGTTACGGCACACTTACAGTATTCGCATGTTTTCAATACATTTGCAGGAACCTGACGGACAACTCGATTGCCACTTTTGAAGTGGCACTTCCGTCAATCACGACATTGTACGGACTCTTCATTTTTTTTGTGTTGAAATGATGACATTGTGTTTAGTATCGTGTTGTGTTGCTGTCGGCTATCAGAGATTTATCCAAGAACAAATTGACCGAGTTTCCTTCGGCTATCTTCAAAATGACGAATCTTAATATCCTGTGAGTACCGATACCATCTTTGGGCTTATGATGTGGAATACTGTACTTACAACATGTGTGTTCTGAATTATTTGAAGAAATATCGCAGGTAACAGCATCAGCAGTTTGACTGTAACGTCAACGCAATACAACTTTCTGCGGAAACTTTCTTCTGACAGCACGCTAGATATCACCAGTGCTTGTACAAGTGGCACTACAACTGACGTCTTGGACTCGGTGGTTTGTGTATCGAACGATGTTGCGTCTTCGTCGTCCAGTGAGTATGTCTGTATTTGTGCAGTGTTATATTTTTGCTAATTCTTTGTAATCACAGGCTCTTCGTCCAGCAATACCATGACCATTATCGTCATCGTTTTGGCTGTGATAGTTGCGCTTGGCATTGCAGGATTCTTCTTTTATCGCCACCGGATGAAAGACCGCGGCTTTTACGTATTGAACACGCCGGATATGGTGGGAATAGCCACTCTCTCGTCAGGGAACAACACTCCGGCACGCAACAGGGCAGGAAGTCTTGGGCGTACTTCGGCACCACAACAGCAACCTCCAGCGGTTGTCGGTCGTACCCCTCGCAGTTCTATTCCGAATCTGTTGCAGCTCGCAGGATTCTCAGATCATGGCAAGAAAATGTCCGATGTCCAACCTCGGCGCAGCAGCGCACAGTCTACCCTTCCTGCTAAGGCCAGTCGATCTCGGAGCTCTATGATTAGTGCTAGTGTGGTCCAAATTCCGAGCGACGAACTCAACTATACTCGTAAAATTGCTAGAGGTGCGTTCGGTGAGGTATGGCTAGCGTTGCATGGCAAGGACTTGGTGGCTGTCAAGAAGTTGATCACTGTCGAGGGAACTAGTGTGCAGGACTTTGTTTCGGAGCTGAACCTGCTAGCATCGCTGTCACATCGATGCATCCTAACACTGATCGGCGCTTGCTGGGATGATGAATTAACCGATATCCAGATCGTCATGGAGTATATGGATTCCGGAGACTTGCTGTCAGTTCTGCGTACGAACCCGCCGTCAGTACTGACTTGGGAGAACGGCAAGGTCGCGTACTGCGTGCAAGTCTGCGAGGCAGTTTACTACTTGCACAGCTTGCAGCCCGCACTAATTCATCGTGACATCAAGTCACGTAACATTCTGGTGGATTCAGTGAAGGGAGCTAAGCTGTCCGATTTTGGAGAAAGCCGTGAACGCACCGTGGCGCGAACCATGACGGCTGGCGTTGGCACGGCTCGCTGGGTAGCGCCTGAAATTATCTTAGGCGAGGACTATAGCGAACTTGCTGACATTTATTCGCTTGGTGTTTTGCTGACGGAGATGGACACACACCAAATTCCGTACCAGACCTTGGGTCTCGAGGAGTCAATGATCGTTCAACAAGTTGCTGTAGGAAAACTGAGACCCAAGGTGTCGGACACTTGCCCGGAAGTTGTCCGCCGACTGACTCATGAGTGTCTTCAGTATGATCCCAGTCTGCGACCGTCGGCAGCACGCGTACTTCAGACTCTCATGGCTTCAACACTGGTTCGTCGGCCATCGATTAATCTGACACACAACTAGGGTCAATCAAATAGCGGTTTTTGCGCTCCTCGTCATGAACGCGACGGCATGTTTGGTCAAGTCCGTACTTACTGTATTCCGACTGTGCCAAGGTCTGGTGAATACACATTTGTTCCTCATGAATTTGCCGTATTGGTGGTTCTGTGACGAAGTACAAGATGTCGTGTCCCTGATTCTAGGTGGGACATCGAACAGTTAGTCGTATGATGCTGGGACGCATCGTTACAGTTGACAGTTGAGGTATACCTGTTGGTATCTACTGTAGTCTAGTCTAACAGAGGGGGTTGTCACCTACGAGGTTTTTCCCTCCTCAATCCCAAAGTTGCTCAGTGGGAAGCAAGTGTTCCGTGTTCTCTATTCCCTACTCTGTATTACTGTATTACAGGACCAACGACACTCACCGTCTGGTATTGCACCTAGTGGGTTGAGTGGGGAGTTTACCACCGCAACCGCGCCACCGGCTATCCCATTACCTGGGTCAGGATTTCCAGCGGGAAGGCCTAATGCGGGTGGTTCATTACCTGGAGCTGGTGGGATACTTGCCCCTATGCCTGAAGTGCATCAAGTACCTGACGGTGGATTTGGCATGAAGCTAGACAACAAACCGCCGATCATGCATGGGAGTTTTGATCTGTATGCGGTTGAGCTGGAAACGTTCTTACGCCGCATTCATGTGTGGGGTGTAATTGACAATGAGTCGGTTGTACGAGCTTCGACAACAATTACACAGTTTGCGTTGATGGATAATGTTGCTCGTGGTGCTATACTGCATGGTATTCCAACAGCCGATGCTGAGCTTGTCTGTCACGAGGCAAGCGCTCACGCGATGTGGTCGCGCTTTGTCGATAAGCAAACCAAGAGAGAGTATGCGAATTACATCTTTGCACGACAACTACTGTATGCAAACAAGTATACGCATGACAGAAATATAAATGATTGGCTACGTGAGATGGAACTTCAGCGGAATGAGCTGCAACATTACCAAAAAGTACTCTCTGATGAAGAGTTCGCCGAGATTATTATGAGCAATGTGTTGCAGACACATCGTGAGGTTGTTAGGCAATTTTCTAAGCATTACGACCCTGGGATTCAGCGTTTGGCTCCGTCGTCGGCACAAGTGATGAATGCTCTTCGAGCAGAATCGGAGTTGGATGCCCGAAGTAACGAAACCCAACTACCCAATATTTGTGCTGCTCAACCTGCGAAGGAACCAAACAAACGGCTACAAAGACACTATCAGCAACCCTGGAAAGAGAAGCGACGAGGGCGAAGTCAATATAAGGCCCATGGCAGCAACCATTACCAGAAGTCGGGTGGTGGTAGTGGCAAGGCTTTAACAGGAAAGAAGTATTATGGAGACAATCGTGAATGCTGGAACTGTCATGTAAAGGGCCATATCCAGCGAGATTGCACACGACCGAAGTACGCCATAGATGATTCCAAGTCACAACTCCCGGAGCGTAAACGCTGGGAAAATAGAAAGCAGAGTAAAGGCCAGTTTGGGAACAGAAGAGAAGTTGCCATGCTGTCGCGTCAAGCGGATGAAACGATCAATGCTGTTAAGAACGATACAAGTGATATGACCATTGAATGGGTCCTTGATTCAGCAAGTGATTGTCATGTATGCACGAAGAAGGAGATTCTGATGAATTTGCGATTCAATGATGGACCGATGGTGTTTGACTGGGAAGGCAAAGCTTCCCAATTTACAGAACAGATTGGGGAAGTGGAACTCAGAGTAAGGAATGAGACTCCCCCTCATGCTATGAATTCCCTTTCTTTATCGAACGTCCTTTGCACACCGACTGGAACAACAAATTTGTTGAGCTTGGATAGGCTGGAACAAGATGGATGGGACTTTCTCAAGTTCAAGCAACAGCAATGCGCTTGGCTGAAAAAAGGTAATTTGCTACTGCAATTAGTGAAAAAACATGGTCGTTATCGCCTCATATCCTTCGCTATCCCGGTGAGCCAAGTGAAGTCCCTTTCACATGCTAATGAGCGAGTTTTCGCGTTATGGCATACCCGCCTTGGTCACATAAATTATGGGGCCTTGCAGCGGATGATACGAAACAATACAGTGCATGGTTTGGCTATGACTGGGAACGTTCGTACCCCGAGAAACCGATGCTGGACATACGTATGCAGCGAATGTCATACAAAAACTTAGTAACTACACGGTCGACAGTACCATATCAGAAGCTAATGTCTGATATGTGCTACATTGGTGTGGGTACGTATGACGGGTATAAACACTTCCAGCTCATTCAAGATGAGGCAACACGTTACGTATGGGGGTTTTTACTCAAAGAAAAACGAGAGGCTACGACAGTCTAATTTCTCATTTGGCATGGCTTATGGCACAAGGCCATCACATTCAAGTGTTTTCCACTGACCAAGGAAGGGAACTTGTGAACAGACAATTGAAACAGTTCCTTCGCCAACACGGAGTGGACTTTTTGTGGACTAATGCATATAGCCCAGAGGAGAATGGCTTAGTTGAACGGATGAACGGCATCGTGATGTCCCGTGTACGCAGTTTGCTTACAACGGTGGACATGCCGGATCTGTTATGGGGCGATGCATTTACATTTGCGTTGGAGATATTAAATATCATACCCAGTGAAGCTTTGGATAGTGACACACCATATACTCGACGTTTTGGAAAACGTCCTGATTTATCAAATGTCCGGATATGGGGTTGTTTAGTGTTCGTATTTACTCAGAAGATTGTACGGAAAACTAAATTAGAAAATCCCGGTAAACCGGCGATCTTTCTTGGCTACGCGAAGAATTCGATCGGTTATCGTATTTTGGATGCGCGTTCGGGAACTATTCAAGAGTTGCGCACTGTACAGTTTGTGGAGGCTTGGACAATTGACCGGGCATATATCGACAGGCTGCTCTTAAATCGGTATTGTCATGGCAAGTTTACCCTATCTACCACGATCCCGTATGTTCGCGTGGGAGGTTTCTTCACTGCACCGAGTAGTGCATTGGCTTTGGGATCGCCAAGTAACATAGGACATCGTAAGAAGAGGTGTTGTCGTCATGACTGTAACAGTCGTGGTGGCTTAGTATCAGTAGATGATGCTCCAAACGATGGCGTGCCAGCATGGGCTGGGGGGCCTGGAAGTGTGGTGGAGTGGGTTCTCAAAATTGTATGATGAGACCCCAAACCACTCACTGTGCCGGACTGCCGACTGTCGGAGGGGGTACCCCGATGCCGCGTATGAACCTTCTCTCACCTTGTGTACCCGTCGGCTGGCGGGTTGCACTCTTCGGAGGACTTGGTGACGATGTAGATGTCTGCCTTGAGGGAGGTAGACCTGGGGGGCCTCGAGTGGATATGCTTCACTCGGTGGGCCGGTAGGTGGCCACTCGATCGACCTTGTCGAGAGTGGACTTAGAGCCAAATTCTTCAGGGCGCTTGTCGTCCCTGGCCTTTTCCTTCTGTTTCAGGGGTATTAACCACCTGACCTTTACGTTGCTCCCGGACCTTGAGGTGAGGGAGACCGCTTCCGATAGCGGGTCTTGGGGGGTGTTGCTACTCGAACGAGCTCACAGGCCAAATATATCCTGGAGCTCTATTCACACTTGAACTTCGCTACACAACTGTCTTCGACGGGGGGCCAAAATTCATCCCTTCCCGGAACAGTGAGTAGCTTAGAGCAAGTTCTTCTTGGGTGACGGAGTCGTGCCACGTGAGGTTCAGCTCGCACTTGTGTCGGACCACACGCCTGTCTTCAACGGGGGGGGCCAAATATATCCCTTCCCCGGAACAGGCGTGTGGCCAGACTAGAGTTCCTTTACAGCGCGACGAAGACTTGCCAAGTAGATCGCAAATTGAGTAGTATTTAATATAGTCCTATCCTTTTAACTCCTTTACTCTATCCTTGCCTGAAGCTCTGATTCCTTGCGTCGACTGGTCTGATCCTTGTATTAACTGGTCAGGAGTGGCTGAACCCCGAGGGGCCTGGTCGACCAATGAGGGACCCAGGTCTACCGATGAGGGACCTGGTCGACCAATGAGGGACCCAGGTCTATCGATGAGGAACCTGTTCGATTAATGAGGGACCCAGGTCTACCGACGAGGTACCGGGTCTACCGATGAGGGACCCAGGTCTACCAACGAGGGACCGGGTCGACCGATGAGGGGCCGAGGTCTACCGATGAGGGACCCAGGTCTACCGATGAGGGACCTGTTTGACCAATGAGGGACCGGGTCGACCAATGAGGGCCATGGTCGACTCCCTTCGGTACAGGTTAAACGTTACCCTGGTAATGACCCCTCCTTTGTTTGTCTTTCGAATTCTCAGCCAACGGTCGCTTCACTCCGAGGTTCCCTTTATCTCCGGTCCGTTCTCTCTGGTGCGTGGTCCCTTCTCCCTAGTCCACGGCCCCTTGTCCCTTCAATCCAACGGGACCCTAGATTCTTCACAATTTAGGAAAGCACTTCACCACAGCCGCCCCTTGCACTTGCTCAGCCGTACAGCGGCTTGAGCACGCGCATGTATTCCCTCGTCAATCACGTAGGGTTTTCTGCTTGCTCTTTCTTAGGTAGTCCGTGGCCAACCTGGGTCACTCCAGCTTGGTTTCAGTCTTCGATACATTGAGCTAAATTCTTGAAGGACCCAGGTCTACCAACGAGGGACCGGGTCTACCGACGAGAGGCCGAGGTCGACCGACGAGGGACCCACGTCTACCAATGAGAGACCGAATCTATCGACGAGGGGCCGAGGTCGACCGGCGAGGGACCATGACCAACCATCCAAGGAGTTTTCTATTGGCTGAAAATTCAACCAATCAGAAACCTGAAATTTTGTTGGTCGTCCACGCGTCACCGTTTCGTGAGCTCGCTGTTCCTGCTTCGCGCCCCTGGTCTTCCTCCTGCTACACTCGCGTTTGGGTGTGCCCGCGGTACTTGGCGTTCATTCAAAAATCTTGCCATCGCCGCGTCGAAGAGGGTCTGCAGATCGCCTACCGGGTAGGTAGGCCCTCCCCCCCCCAGCGTCTTCGTCACGGGGCAGAGCAAATTCCAACTTTTTTACTTGCTGATTTTCCATTGGCTGAAAATCGGAATGATTTTCATTCTTGCCACGCGTCGCCGTTCCGAGACCACGTGGTTCCTGTTCCGCGCTGCGCGCTCGGGCCTGGAGCAGCGCCGCTCCAGTAGGGCCTAGGGGCATCCTAGTGACCGACCCAGTCGAGGACGATCCTGGGGAACATGTTGCTGCTGCTATTTGGCCGCTTGACGTCAGGTGTTGGGATGGGCCTTAATTCGCCCCTGGGTGAACGGCGGCTCCGGACATGTGAGGATCCACCGTAATGTCTTGAAGCGTCATCTGGCTGTCCTTGGACCGTGTTTGTGTGGGTGTCACCAGAGGTGGGTGTTCCGTTGCTGGCGTGGTACCAACTAGGATCGACAGACGCTTGTGTATATGTTCTAACGCTTTTGTGATTCTGTCGAATCCCAGGGATAGCAGGTCATCCGGGTCGAGCCGCCCTGCGACCATGTTCGCTTCACGAAGCATGGTGACCAGCGCTGTGATCGCGTCCGTGACGGAGTGCAGCCGTGGCAGGATCGACACCGGCCCAGTGAGTTGACCCAGCTGCCGGATCTCCAGGATCTTTGCGACGGGGTCGCTCTCCAGGAACGCGTTCAGCTTGCGTTGGTGATAGGCCCTCGTGACATCAGCGTCTGTCCATGACGCCAGTCCTGCCTTCTCGGGGCCTATCGACTTGCTGTTTCCGGGTGCCTTCATCCGGAACTTCGTCGGCTTGGACTGCGCGATCTTTGTTTTTTTGTTTTTCGGGGACCTTAGCCTCTCGGTTTTCACCGTCGGCTGATGGTCCTCTGGATCATGATAGGCGTCATGACCCAAGGTGTCCTCTACGAGGACATAGGGAGGGTATTTAGGTTTTTCTTCAATGAATTCAACCTCGACCATGTTGACCGGGCCCCTCCCAAGGCCCGGTCGGTCCTTCGATCCTTTGTTTGTTTCTTCTTGAGTCACTGGCGATCGGTCTTCCAGCGACTCTTCGGTCTTGTGCTCCTTCTTGACTTGAACATCTTTATCGTCTTGGGACTCGCGGTGAAATCCCGCGTCTTCCGAAGATCCGGGCACGCGCACCATTGTGGTGGAGTGGGTTCTCAAAATTGTATGATGAGACCCCAAACCACTCACTGTGCCGGACTGCCGACTGTCGGAGGGGGTACCCCGATGCCGCGTATGAACCTTCTCTCACCTTGTGTACCCGTCGGCTGGCGGGTTGCACTCTTCGGAGGACTTGGTGACGATGTAGATGTCTGCCTTGAGGGAGGTAGACCTGGGGGGCCTCGAGTGGATATGCTTCACTCGGTGGGCCGGTAGGTGGCCACTCGATCGACCTTGTCGAGAGTGGACTTAGAGCCAAATTCTTCAGGGGCGCTTGTCGTCCCTGGCCTTTTCCTTCTGTTTCAGGGGTATTAACCACCTGACCTTTACGTTGCTCCCGGACCTTGAGGTGAGGGAGACCGCTTCCGATAGCGGGTCTTGGGGGGTGTTGCTACTCGAACGAGCTCACAGGCCAAATATATCCTGGAGCTCTATTCACACTTGAACTTCGCTACACAACTGTCTTCGACGGGGGGCCAAAATTCATCCCTTCCCGGAACAGTGAGTAGCTTAGAGCAAGTTCTTCTTGGGTGACGGAGTCGTGCCACGTGAGGTTCAGCTCGCACTTGTGTCGGACCACACGCCTGTCTTCAACGGGGGGGGCCAAATATATCCCTTCCCCGGAACAGGCGTGTGGCCAGACTAGAGTTCCTTTACAGCGCGACGAAGACTTGCCAAGTAGATCGCAAATTGAGTAGTATTTAATATAGTCCTATCCTTTTAACTCCTTTACTCTATCCTTGCCTGAAGCTCTGATTCCTTGCGTCGACTGGTCTGATCCTTGTATTAACTGGTCAGGAGTGGCTGAACCCCGAGGGGCCTGGTCGACCAATGAGGGACCCAGGTCTACCGATGAGGGACCGGGTCGACCAATGAGGGACCGGGTCGACCAATGAGGGACCTGGTCGACCAATGAGGGACCCAGGTCTACCGATGAGGGACCTGGTCGACCAATGAGGGACCCAGTTCTATCGATGAGGAACCTGTTCGACCAATGAGGGACCCAGGTCTACCGACGAGGTACCGGGTCTACCGATGAGGGACCCAGGTCTACCAACGAGGGACCGGGTCGACCGATGAGGGGCCGAGGTCTACCGATGAGGGACCCAGGTCTACCGATGAGGGACCTGTTTGACCAATGAGGGACCGGGTCGACCAATGAGGGCCATGGTCGACTCCCTTCGGTACAGGTTAAACGTTACCCTGGTAATGACCTCTCCTGTGTTTGTCTTTCGAATTCTCAGCCAACGGTCGCTTCACTACGAGGTTCCCTTTATCTCCGGTCCGTTCTCTCTGGTGCGTGGTCCCTTCTCCCTAGTCCACGGCCCCTTGTCCCTTCAATCCAACGGGACCCTAGATTCTTCACAATTTAGGAAAGCACTTCACCACAGAAGCGTATTGTTGAGCGAGAATCCGACGAGATTAGCAAGGGCTAATGCTCGGTCGTCACGTCCACGAGCGGCAAGTCCAGCAGATACTGAGATGGGGTCGTGTCGTGATCGCACGGCAAGTCCAGCACAGGCTGAGATGGGGTCGTGTCGTGATCGAACGGCAAGTCCAGCAGAGGCTGCGATGGGGTCGTGTCGTGATCGCACGGCAAGTCCAGCAGAGGCTGCGATGGGGTCGTGTCGTGATCGCACGGCAAGTCCAGCACAGGCTGAGATGGGGTCGTGTCGTGATCGAACGGCAAGTCCAGCACAGGCTGAGATGGGGTCGTGTCGTGATCGAACGGCAAGTCCAGCACAGGCTGAGATGGGGTCGTGTCGTGAGCGAACGGCAAGTCCAGCACAGGCTGAGATGGGGTCGTATCGTTATCGTGGTCTAGCTGGATACAGTCCCAATTGGTATCGCATCGTCACTGATGGAGGAGAAGGCGGCAGAGAAGGTGGCATGGACTTGTCTAACCGCAGTATGCCTGCCCCTTGTCGTAACACGGGAGATCGGTCTAACCGCCGAGGCTCTGTGCCTTCGACTTGCCTGCCAGCTCTCAGTGCTGACGATGATTACCTGGGCATGAGTGATATGGGACAGACTCCCACACCTTTTGAGGAAGAAGCAGAAGAAAAAAGACCTGTTATTGTTAGACCCGGTGAAATGAAAGCTGGAAATGACCCTGAGGCGGCTTTTCGGCGGTCTACCCGAGTACGACGACAAAATGTACGTCTATCGGATTATGAACTGAATATTTCTGCAGCCCTAGTCATTCAAGCAGTGAATGAACTGCTTGAGCCCATGTCCGTTACCGAAGCTTTGAGTGCCCCTGATGCAAAGCAATGGATAAAAACTCTTGAGACTGAGTATGACGAATTGATGCGTAATCACGTATGGGAGCTAGTGGATCGGCCTTCGGGGGTAAAGATTCTAAAGAATAAGTGGATATTTGTGCGCAAACGAAATGCGCAAGGCGACGTGTGCCGGTATCGCACGCGAATTACGATTAAGGGATGCCAGCAAGAGTTTGGTGTCAACTTTTGGGAGACCTACGCTCCAGTAGCGAAGGCTGAGTCCGTGAAATTTGTTTTGCTTCTCGCTCTGTTCTTGGGCCTGCCTTGTCGCCAAATTGATTTTGTGACAGCATTTTTGAATGGGCCTCTCGATGATGTATATATCTATATGGAACAGCCCGATTACTTTAATGATGGTTCTGGTCGCGTTTGCAAGCTGTTACAAAGTCTATATGGCTAACGACAAGCACCTCGTATCTGGTAAAAAAAATGCTGGATGAGTATTTAAGGAAGTGCGGGTTTCGACGTACGAAAATGGATGCAGGTGTATATGTGCGAACAGTGGGAGAGAACAAAGTCTACATTACCGTATATGTGGATGATCTCTTAATTGTGGGAACGGAATCCGACATTGAGATGGTTTTAGTACAGCTGCGAAGCAAGTTTAAAATTAAGGACTTGGGTCCTGTAAAGCATTTACTTGGAATGGAGATATCATACATGCTAGGGTGTCGGATGTCGATTACCCAACACGGCTACATTGAGAAGATTTTAACACGGTTTAAAATGACAAAGTGTAAGCCTGTTCCTACACCACAAGTGCAAGGCAACTTTCCGATGCCAGGAAACCCGGATGTGGAACCAGTGTGTGTAGACCCAGATCCAGATATGGATTATCGCCAAATTGTGGGATCGTTACAATATTTAGTCCAATGCACGCGTCCAGATATTGCCAACGCAGTGCGAACGTTGGGCAAATTTCTGAATTGCTATACGAGAGAGCACTATGTCTTAGTAAAAAGAGTGTTCCGTTATTTGAGAGGATCATCTGACTACGGACTACTTTGGACGTTGTCTAACAAGACAAGAGTACCGAAGGATGTGTATGTAAACGCATCAAGACCTACAATCGACGTGCAGATTGTGGCATATGCTGATGCTGATTTGGGAAATGAAAGAGATGATCGACGCTCTGTGACTGGATATGTACTACAAATGGAGGGTTGTACTTACGCATATACAAGCCATAAACAAAGATTGATTACAGATGATACATGCTGTTCGGAATTTGTGGCTGCGGCTGAATGCAGCACTATGATAATGTGGACGCACAATATGTGTAAGGAGCTTGGAGTGAGGCGCAAAAGAACTATTCTATATGAAGATAATCAAGCGGCTATAAAAGTGATCGAAGCAAACACAGGGGACTACAAAGTGAAGAGTGTAGATCTCAAGTACCACAAGATAAGAGATTATGTGGAGAACGACGAGTTTGCTTTGGTATACTGCCCATCAGAAGACATGGTGGCAGACATCTTAACCAAGCCTCTTGGCCCGACGCAATTTAAGAAGTTACGGCATATGTTGAATATTGTACCAGTGCCTACGACTACCACACCACAAGACATCAGAAACAACGAAGTGGGAGTGTGACGAAGTACAAGATGTCGTGTCCCTGATTCTAGGTGGGACATCGAACAGTTAGTCGTATGATGCTGGGACGCATCGTTACAGTTGACAGTTGAGGTATACCTGTTGGTATCTACTGTAGTCTAGTCTAACAGAGGGGGTTGTCACCTACGAGGTTTTTCCCTCCTCAATCCCAAAGTTGCTCAGTGGGAAGAAAGTGTTCCGTGTTCTCTATTACCTACTCTGTATTACTGTATTACAGGACCAACGACACTCACCTGCGCAGTGATAAGTGTGACAGGTTCTCTCCATTGCTGATGTTGCAGGCTTTTGTGTTAACGGTGACCTGTGTCGCTCAACATCTAGCGGAAGCTGTTCTTTTATTTTTCATTGCATTTGATTCCTTCACAAATTCTTCAGTCCAATGACAAATTCAGCTCTGATCCTTCGCATCTGTCAGCTGCTTGTGAAGTCTTGCTGCTACGGAATAAACTAAAAAAACGTGAGAAGGCTATAGACGACTCCGCACTGCACACCCAGATCCTCACTCGCCGGCTCACCATGTTGACGCCTCAATTTATCTATCAGGCTGCAGCAAACTGACTTGCCTCATAAGGGACTGAATAAAGCCTGTCTGCACCTGCGAGCAATTTCCGTTCGTTGTCGCCTCTACATTTATTGCGTGCGAAGATTCCTTCGAGATAGGAAGACGTAAGTATTTGTTAGAATGTTCTGATGGAAAGTGGCGTCTTTAGTCAGTATGGTCAGTGGAGAAAGCCACATCAAACAACCATACACCTGAACTTACTAATTGAACCAGCCCATTAATCGGTCTTGAGGCACTTGTCGAGGGACGAAAACTCCGAATAGAAAGCCGTAAACCAGTCCAGCGACTTGACCAGATCCTCCGTGCCGCACATCTCACGGATGCTGTGCATGCTCAGTTGAGCTAGACCCACATCGATCGTGCGGATGCCCGTGTTGGTCGACAGAATCGGACCAATCGTGGAACCGCAGCGAGCATCTTGACGCACGACAAATTCCTGAACGTCCACATTGTGACGACGTGCAAGCTCCTTCATCAAGAAAGCCGATGTACCGCTTGTGGCGTAACGCTCGTTGGCATTGTACTTGATCACAGGTCCCGCATGTATAGCTGGTTGATGATTCTGCTCGTGCTTTTCAGCGTAATTGGGGTGGACGCCATGGGCCATATCAGCCGACACCATGAACGATTTCCTGACCGCGGGGCCGCATAGCTCCCCCTGTGCCACACACTCCGCCACTGACTGTATGAAATTAGACCCGGCTCCCATGAGAGACTGCGACCCCACCTCTTCGTTATCAAACAGTGCAGCCACACGAACGTTCTCGTCGTCCGCCAAATTGTCCAAGGACTTGATCAATGCCTGTGTGGCCAGCCATGAGCAGCACAAATTGTCTAATCTGGGTGAAAAGATGAACTCTTCCAACACACCACCAACGTTCGCTCCCTGCGTGTCAAAGAGACACAACTCAAAGTCGCAAATCTGATCAATTTCAACGTCCAACTCCTTTGCAATAAGCTGCAACAGCACCGACGTATGCTTAGACTTGGGCTGATCTTTCCCGTCCATTGTCTTCTCCAACTCAGCACGAGCAGCTGAGGCAATGACGGGACGTAGATGCGTCTCCTTATTAAACGTAAAGCCTGCACTAACTTGACTATCCAAGTGAATTGCGAGCGTAGGAATGCGAAGAATAGGGCGGTTTACAAGCAGCAATTTCGACTGAAAGCTCACGTCGCTCTCACGAATAATGACACGCCCTGCAAGTCCCAAGTCACGGTCAAACCACGTATGGAATAGACCTCCGCCGTACGTCTCGACACCAACTTGAAGCCAACCCTTGGACTCAATATTGGACACGGGTTTGACCTTAAGACATGGACTGTCTGTGTGAGCACCAATAACGTGGAAACCATTGCCACGCTCGTATTTACCACCGACAGCAAACGCTACGATCGCTGATTGGTTGCGTGTCACGTAGTACTTGCCATTGGGTTGTATACTGTCCTTCCACGAGTCTTCCTCGTGTAGCTGCTTGAAGCCAGCAGCTGTAAGTGTTTGTATAGTCTCATATACGGCGTGAAAAGGTGATGGACTCTTGTTAATAAACTGTAGAAATGAGTCTACAGTCTCTCGTGTACGTGAAGAAAGAGTCAATTTGGTCATGGGAAAGAGTGATGGTCTTGTGCTTGAACTGATGAATTCGGAAATGATCGAATAGGATACGGATTGTATAAATTGTAAAAGGTAGTTAGAAGTCTGAGTGAGTGTGGTATTTCAAGGTTATAAGATTTGAAAAGTAAACGGAATGGCTACGTTACGTCATAGCCGCTTTATAGCGGAATATTGCCGTGTTTTTTCCATGGGTTCTTGACATTCTTAGTCTCCAGCATATCTAGGTCTTCGCAAATATGACGGCGAGTATCAATAGGTTCGATAATGTCGTCCACAAATCCACGCTGGGCAGCGACCTGTGGACACAAAACATCGAGTTGACAGAACACGTCAAGAAGCTCGTTAGTGAGACAATTATTCATTCATCCACAAGACAAACATGATTAAACATACCATGGGGTTGGCAAACTTCGTCTCATAGTCAGCAGTGTTCTCTTCTACGTTCTGGCCACGGAAGATGATCTCTACCGCACCCTTTGCTCCCATCACGGCAATCTCAGCTGACGGCCACCTAGCATTGTTACCAAGACAGAGACAAGTCAGCTACACTCATATGCTAATCTAAACAAAAACAAAATACTTGCGCATAGTTGATGTCGCCTCGTAGGTGCTTTGAACTCATGACGTCGTAAGCACCGCCGTATGCCTTGCGTGTAATGATTGTAATCTTCGGTACAGTCGCCTCGGCGTACGCGTACAACAGTTTGGCGCCATGACGAATGATACCACCGTATTCTTGGTCTAGACCCGGCAGGAAACCCGGCACATCTACCAACGTTACAATGGGAATGTTGAAGGCATCACAGAAGCGCACGAAACGTGCCCCCTTGACGGATGAGTTAATATCTAGACAACCAGCGAGCTCCATGGGCTGGTTCGCCACAATGCCCACGACACGGCCCTCCATGCGACCAAAACCAACGATAATGTTTTTGGCATAGTCAGGCATGATCTCGAAAAAGTCGAAGGAGTCCACAACCTGATGGATGATGTCTTTCATGTTGTACGGCACGTTCGGATCAGGGGGCACGATATTCTCAAGCGTAGGCGTAGGTCGGTTGCGCGTGTCGTCTGACTTGCGCACGGGCGGCTTCTCCTTGTTGTTTAATGGCAAGAAATCAAAGAAGCGGCGCATCTCACGAATAGCCTCCACGTCGTTGTCAAACGCGCAGTGAGCAACACCGGAAGTCTTCGTGTGTGTTGTAGCTCCACCGAGCTCTTCCTGTGTAGCCTCTTCGTTTGTCACCGTTTTCACGACCTCAGGTCCCGTCACAAACATATACGACGAGTCACGGCACATGAAGATGTAGTCGGTCATAGCAGGCGAGTACACGGCTCCACCAGCACACGGTCCCATGACCAGCGTAAGTTGCGGGATGACACCCGATGCCAGTACATTCAGCTGAAAGATGTCAGCGTATCCAGCTAAAGATGCCACACCTTCCTGAATACGAGCACCACCCGAGTCATTGAGTCCAATGACTGGTGCCCCAAGCTCCATGGCTTTGTTCATAATCTTGACGATCTTCTCAGCGTACGTCTCGGATAAACTGCCACCAAAGACGGTAAAGTCCTGACTAAAGACAAATGTAAGTCGACCGTTGATAAGCCCTCGACCCGTAACGACACCATCTCCCGGATAATGTTGTTTCGCCATATTAAAGTCCGAGCAGCGGTGCGACTTGAGCATGTCGTATTCACGGAACGTTCCTTTATCCAGCAGCAACTCAATGCGTTCACGAGCCGTGAGTTTCCCCTTTTCATGCTGCTTGGCGACACGTTCGACACCTCCTCCCTCGAGTGCTCGTTTGCGGGCCTGTTCCAGCTCATCTTTGAACATCAATTTACGTGCAGCTGGTGTGAGGATCGGAGAGGCCGTTTCGTTCACTAGCGCACTCCTCCATCGTGTAGAAAAGTGCTATAGACATCGATATCATGTCAGGGATGCAAGAGAAAAGAGTGATAGAGAGAAGTAGATGGTTATGAACGTACGAGAGGTTGACAAAGGGGACGGAGATATCTCGCTGTTAACATGATGCAATGAAGACGGGGTAGATCAAATCGAAAATGAGCTGCACAAGTTCAAGTGTGGGTTGAATAATTTGTGGATCTGAGTCGACAACGTGAAGTTGCAGGACGTCAATTGGACACGTTACTACTGCGTATGAATCATCTTAACAAGTGTCATTTGCTACTCGTCAGCGGTATGAAGATACGAATATGAAGTAGAGTGCGAAGATCTATGACTGCTGTTTGAGCTATTAGTACAGTCGTCCAACGACATTCTGGTGGGCAGGACAAGCTACTCGTTTAATCCACTGTGACCGCCTTGGCTAGATTACGCGGTACGTCCGGGTTAATGCCCTTGCGCACAGCAAGCTCGTAAGCGATAAGTTGTAGAGGAATTGTCGCGAGCAACGCGGTCATGGGTCCGTTCGTTGGAATCGGAATGACCTCGTCGGCAATGTTCTCGCACATTGCTGGATTGTCGGTGATGATAATAGTATGAGCACCACGAGCACGCACAGATTCAGCAGCCGTCTTCATAAAGGTGGCGTGCTCGTCATCCAGCACAATTAGGATGATTGGCGTGGCTCCAAACTTGCCCTCTTTCTCACCCTCAATCAGTGCAAAGGGACCGTGCTTGAGTGCACCACCAGGGTAGCCCTCAGCATGCAAGTACGTGATCTCCTTGATTTTAAGTGCACCTTCATATGCAATCGGCTCACCGTAGCCTCTACCGAGCACAAAGAGGTGCTCCGCGGACAACAAGCTGTCAGCAACCTTTGCGCATTGGTCGCGCGATCGCAATGCCATGCCAATTGCTATTGGAAGGCGATGCATGCTCTGGATTAACGCAGTCATCTTGGAACGGTTACCATCGGGACGATATTGTGCAAACCACGAGGCAATGAGTCCCATGACCGTAACTTGGGTAACAAAGGCTTTGGTACTGGCCACGGCGTTCTCACGTCCAGCGTTCAGGTACACACCACATTTCGTTGTGCGCGCAATGAGCGATCCCACAGTGTTCACAACGGAAAACGTAGGCACCTCAAGCTGCAGCTCCTTTGCGGTTTTCAAGGCGCGGTGGACATCCTTCGTCTCGCCTGACTGAGACACAACAAGCAGGCCACCATCCTTCTTTGAGAATCGATCACTCGTGCATTCTGATGCATCTTCTACAGCCACACTTTCAAACGCGTTAAGTGATCGCATCAGCTTGGCGCCATACTTGCTCGCATACAGCGAGGTACCACACGCAGCAATAAGGAGGTGCTTAATATGCAGCATACGCTCCTTCTCTGCCTCCAGCCCACCAAGGTACACGTGGTCATCAGATACGCGACCACCGTAACCCAGTGACGCCGCCACAGCTTTCGGTTGTTCCATGATCTCACGCAGCGTCCAGTGTGGGTACGGTGTTGGCAATAGTCGCACCTTCACATCCGGTGCCACAGCTAGCCTGCTCGTCGGGAATCGTTGCAAAAAGCCTTCTTCTTTACCGTCGTCATTTGGATTGAGCTCTGCCAAGTCACTTTTGATTACTGCCACCTCACCATCCTCGAGCGAGATAAATCGCTTGGCGTAGCGACTGAAAGCTGTGGTCTCAGAGGCCACAAACATCTCACTAGATCCATATCCAATGCACAGGGGTGATCCATTACGTGCAATGACAATCTTGCCCGGATCATCTCGTGCCATAACACAGAGTCCCCACGTTCCTTCCAGCTTCTTTAGAGCGAGTCGCACTGCTGTAAGCAGATCAGCTCCCTGGCCCATCAAATGACCAATGAGCTGTGCTGCTACCTCTGTGTCTGTCTGAGAAGAGAAAACCACACCTTCATCCAAGAGCTCTTGTTTAACCTCGTAATAATTCGTAAATGTGCCATTATGCACCAATGACACACGACCGTGCATGTCTGTATGCGGATGTGAATTACAGTCCGTCTTGGCACCGTGTGTAGCCCAACGGGTATGTGCAATACCAGAAGTATTTCCTTCATGTTTAGTCTTCGTCTCTCTCAGTAAATGGATCGAATCAGCTGTGCCAACGGATGCAAATTTGGTCGTAGTAATGGGAGCCTTCTCGCCTTCTTTAACGTTTGGCTGCGTCGACATTCCAGCTGAGTCATAGCCTCGATTCTGTAGAATAGTTAGTCCTTCTAATAAAAAGTCTGAAGCATTCTGCGTCTTGCCCACGACGCCCACAATACCGCAAGAATTGGCAGAGTGATGGTCTTTGAAGAGAGAGATACCGGTGACGCATAATGCACCTGTAGTGAGAGCCAAGAGCCATGAGGAACTTAAATTTTGATCACTAGAGACGGATGAAAGCGAGCTCAAGACCGCAACGGAGCGGATGGAACGATCCACAGACGAGGTGGAGGTACGACTTAATGGAGTTAACAAGCGACGTAACATTGCAAGTGTCGAGCTCAGAGTGAAGTCAATCCAGGTGGAGTGATGCGATTGGTGGAAATCATAAAAGTCATATTTCCGATATGAAATAAGATTTTGTAAATTCTCCAGAAATAGATCAATTTTGTATTACGATTTAGAGCTGCAAACAAGATACGCGACCATATGGACTGTACCACAACCATCCTTCCTTTAGCACAGGAGCACACTTATACATGCGAACGTTTTAGTCATTAAGAGAGCTGCAACATGTAACATATTCGTTTACTGTTGAAGTTCCTCGCGCTTTCCGAAGGTTGTTTACGACGTTTTTGAGCGATAGGTCCTATTTCTTCTTCTCCGTTACTGCCGTTGCGGACGGGTACAAAATCAGCTCTTGATCCTTGTCCAGTGGCTTGAAAAATGCCTCCACCTCCTTAGCCGTCACCTTAGTAATGTCGCGCTTTGCCCACTTCGGGTTGCGGTCCTTATCCACGACAACGGAACGGACACCCTCGTAAAAGTCCGGGTTCTCCAACATGCGCGTAGCTATGCGGTATTCCATCTGGAAACACTCGGCGTACGTCTTGACGGCTCCTTGTCGCATCTGCTCCAGCGTGACCTTCAGACTCAGCGGTGACATCTTCTTTAGCGTAGCCAGAGTGTCGTTAGACCACTCCGTGTTCAGTTTCTAAATAGATGATTGTATACCAAAAAACCACGTTAAAATTCTAGCCAACAGTTTACTAGTCATTGGGTTCAACTCACTTCTAGGCGTTCGAAGATGCCTTCCAATGTGTCGTCCTCATTAACAGCACCGAACACGGATTCAATCGTCTCAAGATACTCTACATAACCATACCACACACAGAAGAAACAACGTTAGCAACAACATCTTCAACCTGCATCATCATACATTTCAATGTACCAGGGTCAATCTCCTGGAAAGCCTCGTCCGTCTCGAGTTCCTCCAGAGCCTCGTGAATGATCTCATCACGCTCCTCTTGTGTCGTGTTGTTGGCAAACTCAAGACCCGTCAGAAAGTGCACCATCCTCTCGTACTCGCTCGTCGGTAGATAGTGTGTAGCAAGTCCGAGGCCAATAACCTCGTGGCTTTTCAGCCGTTCGCCCGTCAGTGCAAGATACGTTCCTAACTGAAGAGGGCATGAGGAAACAAAACATCCGTTAGCTCTCTTTGACTATAAGAACATCATTTGTATCACTTACACCTTGACCCTTTAGAGCCTGTGACTTGGGTACATCAGCGACATAGTTTTCACTCTCGCTGAGGCGGCGTCCAAGTCGTGGCAGCAAATATGAGGCCCCCACGTCCGGGAAAAAGCCAATTGCCGTCTCGGGCATGGCAAACAGCGTCTTTTCAGTAGCTACAACAAACTTACCGTGCATAGACAGCCCTACACCTCCTCCCATAGTGACTCCGTTAAGGAAAGAGATAATTGGCTTCTCAGTCGTCGCCAGGAAATAATTGAGACGGTATTCGTGGCGAAAAAAGTCCAGTGATACGTGACGCGTGGCTGGGTCTTTGCCGTGGTCTATCAGGGCACGAATATCTCCCCCAGCACAGAACGCTTTTCCCCCAATGCCTGAAAATATGATAGCGTTAACCGTATTGTTGGCCTCGATCTTATGCAGTCGCTGTGTCAAATGCTGCGTCATGGGGAGTGTCAACGCGTTGAGCTTCTCCGGGCGATTGAACTGTACGGTGCGCACGCCCGTGTCCTGTCCGTACAAAATATCAGAGAAATCCGATGTCGTCGTAGAGAAGCTAGAGACCGCAGAGATGTGAGCCGACTCGCGCACGTGGCGCTGCAGCATCCGCACTCGCGTCGCTATCACCCGCTGCATCTTGTTGATTCGTGTTATGAGGGAACTGGAAAACGGGTGGTGCGTATGTTTTCATTGGTTAAAAATGATAGTTATCTCACCAATCATACAAAGGAAACCCTTCAAGACCATCATTCTTGAAATTCCGCACTCTAATCGCGACGCGAGATGGAGGTGGTAGATGGCGCGCGCGAAGAGGACGTGGAGCTGTGGAAGGGAACGCTAGATGATGATGCCTTTACCAAACTTAGTGAAGCAGACATCGGTTATGCGACTCACGTAGCAGCAACTTCGATGGGTCTGGAGCCTAACCAGCGACAAGAGCAATTAGCCACTCAACGACCGAGAAAGAATGGTGCGATTACGACGCAACGATTTAAGCGCAAGAACTTTAGTAAACAGCTACAGCTGTTGTGTCTACAACGATATGCACAATACGCACGAGATTTTGGCCGTCTCCCTGATAAATACGAGACACAGCAGCTTTTACAACAGAGTTATCTTCAGTTCTTAAAAGAAGGCGGGACAGCCGATGAACCTAAACTTACTCATGCAGAATTTCTTAAACTTATACGAAATCGACGTAGAGAGATTCATGCAAGGGCACAACGTCCACCTAAACAGAACAAAGACGATCATATTACGGCCAAGATGGCGGGACTTACGCCTGCTAAAAGAAAATTACAAGAAGAACATGCTAAAATTCAAGAGCTTATTCAAGTTATTGATCGAGCACGAGAGCAAGCAGGATTAATTTCAGATTCTCAACCGCAACAACGGCGTCCTAGACCACTGTTAGCGGGGGTGGAAAAGCGACATGCTCAGCAGCAGCCAACAACAGCGGAGATGGTCGTGGTTTCTCCACCGTCAACAATACATAATCTAACATCACTTCACGTACCAGCAGACCCGGTGGAACTAATGGAGACAATTTTACAAATTCATGTTGAAACACGGGACGTGCAACGTGAAATTGTGGCAAGATTACGGTCTATCAACTGTGTAATAAGCCAGCATGGAGGGCATGGAGAAATGGAAGAGCCATCGAGTGTCAGCGTTTGAAGTCTCATGGAGTGGTGTATGCGATTGCGAGATTCTACTTATAATTCCTGGGAATTATGTATACCTATCGAGGCGTATGACAATGTGGCTACGATGGTCTTAGCAATCGACAAAATACTTATCTGCTTGACTTCAATTATTTGGTCGATGCCAATCTAGTTTTATATAGTGAAATGTCATACGTGTCAGTGGTGAAGTACGGCAGCTTCACGTTCATGCTGTATAGCTTGTTCCATCGATTTAGCTGAACCACGAGTGCTATCGCAAATACTGGTCGTCTTTGATGCGGTCTTTTTTTAGTGGTAACCTGGCGATTGAAGATCTGACAGTCGTCAATTTTGAACCGAAACTCACATGGCTGAAAGTACTAGCGGCTCATTTTTCATACAATTTGGTCTCATTATCTTTTGAGCAATTATCCAGAGGAGTTACATGAAGTAATCAGGTCTCATATTATTTAACAAGCCACGAGGGTGCCATATCAAATTTGACAGCTTCTGAGGCGCCTGCTTTGACTTTTTCGGACGGGTACCGATACAAACAAGTATCCACAGACGCGCTAATGACACGCCTCAGTATATTGGCAAGCATTTTCGCGACGAAACAAACTTGTCAGAGAATGCGCTTGGTCCGAGCCAAATTCGCGCTTATATCTGGCCAGTCTTAAGAATATCATGTCTCATGTCTGTACGGCCATGCAAAAAAGAACCGATGACCACGATATTGAGGCAAGTTCCTGCCTAAATCCAGTCGCCTTCGCTCTCGTCACTGTCATATTCGTCGTCGCTGTCGAATAATGTGGAGCCTGATGAGGACTGTGGGTCGGAAGCGCCATTCATGTGCACGATCGGTCTTGCCAGTGGAATAGTTTCATCGGGAAAAGAGCTCGAGTGATTGTATGAGCTGGACGCCGAGAAGAGTGACGACATGCCCGTGGAGATGCACGAGTCATCCAATGACGATGACGACCGTTTCTCGTACATGGCGCGTCGCGTTGGCATTCCGGGTACTTCGGCCACTATTCCCATCGGATTCGACGGCACAGTTGCTAGTGAATACCGCTTAGGAATTCCTGTGTTGCCATAATGCTGCATCCTCTGCTGCTGCTGCTTCGTCCTTGTCGGTGACGGTCCATCAGATTTTGACAACGACCGGAGGGAATTACGTGCTGCTATCGATTGCCGCACATTGTTCTGCTCCGCGTTAGCCGCCTCAATGGCGTCGCTCAGCTTGCACAGCCAGACTTCCATCTCCGCACTAGTTCTCGCTACGACACGCAGCACTCGTTCATTGTCGAACGTGATATCCAGGCCCTTTGCCAGTGTACCGTTCACCTCGACAGCTCGCACGTGGCCGTTTCCCTTGGCCGTTGCTCCCATGTCTTCTGAATCAAAGTACGACAGCGCATTTCCACGCAGCACAAAGTAGCGTCGTTTCCAGTTCTTGATACATGCGCCTTCTTTCTTAAGCCAGCCCGAGTGTGTTACCTGCTCATTTCCGCCTTCACTTAGAGGCAGAGACTCCAGTCGGTTCAGTAGCGTCATTTCGTCGTCTAGGCCCATACTGTTCACCGGTGCGAGCGTGTTACTGGACGACAGCGTCGAAAACCGGTCGGAAGACGCCGCTAAGAACTGTTGGGGAGCTACTGTGGTAGCGTCCAGGATCATATTGTACCAAGTGCTAGTGGCCTCAGCCGACGCCGTGTAGAGTTTGAGCACGCGGCCGCCACGGCCGTGCACTAGCAGCCCATTCTGAATATCAGTACTCAGCTCCACTGTGATGACCTGGAAGCTTCCCTTGGCCTTGACCATTGGAGTCACCTTTGCCGTATCATAATAGGTTAGCTGTCGTCCACGCAATACCATGAAGCGTTTCTTCCAGTTCTTTACAAGAGAGCCCTGCTTATACACCCAGCCAGCGTACTCACCATCGATACCGTAGAGTGCCATTGCTTTCTATGCGCGTTTCTGACTGTGTGGTACACTAGGTCGTAGACAGAAGTGCTGGTACGTTAGGGGGAAAGCACGGAAGGAAGGAAGGGAAGGACGACGCTGTGCTGATTAGCTCTTTGACTGTCAGGGTAGCGGCTTTCTTTATTTCTGAAAAAAACAATGCAGACAAAAATGGGCTAGCAAACTAACCGGATGCGTATACATAAAAGGGATTTGTATACGCATCCGGTTATTTCGCTGTCGCTTTGTGGCTTCACGGCGCAATGTGTGCATGGATGCAGTTATTCGCAACCTCATTTTTCACTGAGACTTTATTTAATGCAGGGCAATAACCTTGTGAAATTAAAAATTGAAAAGTGAATTGAATAGATCAGCGAAAACCAAATTTTGTATGGAGGTTGTTGATACTCAAACGTTTTAAAAATGACTTCAGCATGAACAGCTTGTTCTCACAACCGCCATTAAAGTGTATACGTACAGTTGCTAGAATATCAAAGGCTCTTTTCTTTTTTTAAATGTATATTCTCTTCAGTTGACATTTTTGTATATACATTACTTCAAGTCGAAGAGCGAATTGAATCCTTTTAGAAAGTATACAGTCGCAGCCAAAATGAACAAAAACGTCGCTGTCGCTCGTTTATGTGCGTATACAATTTTGCACCATTCTAAAAATCCAGGGTTTCTAAAATTTAGTAGCATAACAAAGACGATACATTCATATCAGGTGTGAGCCGACCCCACTTTGTATCGCTCTACAGGAAGACTCATACATCAGCAAGCGACCCATCCCATACTGCTTTACATGACGATGCAGCAGCAGCCCTTTACTTCAGGGTCATCCGACTTACTAGGTGGACGCATAAGGACCGTGTTTTCCTTCATCATAGCTTCCCGACGCTCTTCTTCCAGCTCTTCCTGCAATAGCTTCTCTGCCAATCGCATGCGACGAATCGCAGTAGAACCTGGTGCCGTAGGGGAGTATGGTTTCTCTCCATTGTCCTCACTCTCGCGCTCTTCCGCCACTTCAACAAAGCTCGCTGTGTTATCGGGCATTGTCTCCACCACAATATGGCGTCGGAACGAGCTGGCAGCATAAAGCTCAGGTGGCCTCTTGTTCTCTTTAACCTCGCCTTCCTCGGGATGATCTTCTTCCGTCTTCATCTCTTCATGTAGCACTGCCTCCGTACTTGCATGCATCGATGGAGCATCATCAGCTACGATAGGAGCAGGCCCAAACAGCGCGCTTGCTTCTTCTTCTGTCACATCAACACTCAATGCATTCTCTTGTCTCTTAGTAAACTCCCTGTCCCTGACGTTTCTCGGGTCATCATCAACCGACAACCGTTTCTCCTGGCTTTTTCTCTGCTCCTGGGCATACTCCAGACTGCATTGCAGAGCTTTCTGCCACTCATCAATATCTCCTTCAGACTTTCCCCCGACTCGCATTTCTCGTCCTGCTTCAAATGTCACTACTAGAGTATAAGGTCTTGTCGTATCGTTTCTCACCCCAATAACTTGACCACCTCCTAATCTTTCAGTCCCCATTGTAGCCGAGTACGTCAATTGAGTCCCACGTAGTACAAAATAGCGTTTCTTCCATGTTCGAAAATGCTGTCCTTCTTTTTCCAGCCACCCCACTCGCTGTTGTGTTTCATCTTTTGGATTCTGCATCTTGCAATACTTGACAATTGCCTCATAACATCGATCACATTCTACTTTTGTATCGGTAAATATCTTGAGCTGACGACCTTCCGTTCCATGGATTAAGAGACCATTTGTGATATCCGGTAAACGCTCAATGTGTGCGGCCGTCATTGCACCCAATAGCTGTGCATGATTCTCCTCGTCTGTATTCTTGTAATAGGCCAATTCTGCACGTTTACACACTAAGAAGCGTTTCTTCCATGACCGAACGAGACTTCCTTCTTTAAATACCCAACCAGCATATGTCACGGAATCTTCGAGCTCCATTTCTCCGTCAAATCGGATACTTTGGCTTATGAAGTTTGATATTGATACAACAAAGTGTGAAAAATCAGGTGTTCAAAAATGACGATAGGGATTATATATTTTTTAATTCTTACATTAAAAGTGTTTGGTGAGGCTATAATTGTAATTATGATCTTGTTTGTTTTTCAGATGGTAGTATTAGTCGTGCAATTGTGTACTGTACTATATGTACGACCGTCCGTCCGTCCGTCCATCAACTACATTAGAATACAGCATGATGGAGTACATCCAGTAATTGGTGGTTCGGTAGTCGCCATCTTTTCTGCTAAACGCTTTTCTTGGACTCGTTCATCTTCAACAAGTAATTGACGACAATATTCTGCACTTATGATAGTAAGACTCATGTCTTCCTTCTCTTCTTCTTCATCAAATAAAAGCTCGCCTTTAAACGAACGAGAAGTACTGATCGTACAGTTTTGTGATTCAAAGAACGTCGCTTTTCCTTCCTCATCGTGGAGCCGCATTAATGTATCGTTACTAATGGCATCGTTAAGATACTCCTTCGAGTCAAATCGATTCCTCAATACTCCACTTTCTCCATCGTCACCTTCTCCTTCCGAGTCAACAACATCATCATTCACATTCGAGAGCGTCTTGCTGCTCAAAGAAGAATGAATTTGTGAAAAGACTTGAAACCACGACTTTATCTCCACTTCACTTGCTGCTGTCACACGCATGATCTTGTCACTATGAAACGTGATCACTAGGGTATTAGGCTTGATCTCATCCTTGTAAACACCTTTCACCATGCCATGTCCACGTGCCACACCGCCAATCTCACTGTAGTAGATCAAAGCACTCTTTTTCAAGGTAAAGAAGCGCTTTTTCCACGTCTTAAACCGTTGGCCTTCCTTCAGCAACCATCCACTGTGACTAACCACGCCTTCTAATTCCACAGACGATCCGTTTTTCATGATAGTATTCATCATCGGTGCTGCCACTCCTGCTGCCATTTTGTCGTTCTCTTCTGACACAGCTCCTTGAATCGAGTTGAACCACCTATTGTAATCCTCATTGGATTCAGCCTGAATAATCAGCTTTCGACCACCAACAGTAGATAGTGTAAGTCCTTGGGAGATCAATGGATGCACAGCAACATCCACAACATTGACAGATCGCAAAAGAGATCCCTTTTCGCTTTTGTAATAGCTCAGCGTCGAGCCGTGGAGCGTAAAGTATCGCTGTTTCCAGCTCTTGATATTTCCACCTTCCTTCTTTAACCACCCTACACAGGCTTGTGACTCACTGAGGGTTCTTGAGGACGCTTCACTCGCGCGTACAACAATTTCAGCTTCCACAACGTTTTCATCATATTGCTCAGACGATGATGAGCTCAATGCGTCGTATTCAGGTTTATTTTGCATGGCTGCAATCCACAAGGAAGCCCCCTCACCGTCACGTAGAGACATGTCGTACTCAAAAACATCCTCAGCGGTGAACTCCACATCCACGTCATTCACATTCTCAACTATGTCGTTATCAAATTCTTCACCGATGATTACTTCGCCATTACCTTGCAATAAAAACGACTCGACCAAGTTGGACGCTTTACGAAGCAAGTCAAACCACTTGGAGAATGCTTCTTGAGTTGGTGCCACGACGTGAAGTAATCGGCCATTCTGAAACCGAACATTGAGACAAAAAGGACGAAGATCGCCCACGTTTACTTCAAATACCACACCGGAGCCCAAAACTTCACTTCCAGCAGCCGCACTGTACGCGAGACGACTGCGTTCGAGCACAAAATACCGACGTTTCCAAGTTTTGAAATGTTGTCCTTTTTTCAGCAGCCATCCGCCAAAACCATTGTCCTCTTCAAGATCTTCTTCTTCTTCTTCTTGTTCCTTCGAAACCGATCCCCTCTTCAGTGGGTCCTCTGCTGAATTCCACGATTCCTTGCAAAGAGCAGCATACCACGACTCAGTGTCAGCTTTCGTTTCGCCGTAAACGTTGAGAGTGCTTCCATCATCAAAATGGACACCCAGTGACCCCTCATTACTACGAGTAACGCTGACCACATTTCCAAGAGTCATTGACGTCGTGTTAACATGTTTGTAGTGATGGAGAGTATTTCCGCTGAGAACGAAGTACCGCAGCATCCATGATGACATGTTGCTTCCTTGTTCGTACAACCATCCCCGTTTAATGCGATTACCAACTGCAGCAACTTGTTTGTCGGAGAAGCGATCGAAAACATCGGAAGGAATTGACGTTTGTGTGCTGCCTGAAATTGCTCTAGACTTGTCATTGTCTTGATACAGCGATACATTTCGTGGGAATGGCGGTAGCTGTGGCTTGCTTTGTCGATTTTGGGTCGGCGACAGCGATGGCGGTTCGGAAATCACTTCATCTGAATGCAGTCGTGGTTTTCCTACCGCGTCACATAGTGCACACATCCAATTGTTCAAGTCGCGAATCGACTCAGTACGTATGCAGATGATATCGCTATCACTGAGCAATGTTTCTGAGCCAAAGCCAATTTCTAATGCACCAGAGTATTCCCTGCTGTATCTAACATCTGTCACATTTACCTCCCCTGACAGCTGCTTCATGGGTCCCTTACGATACTCCAGCATTCCATTTACCAATGACATATACCGCTTCTTCCAGACCTTGTTACGTTGTCCAAGTTTTTCCACCCAACCATCACACACTGCTGTCGAATACTTTCGAGCCACCAATTCCGTATCATCTAGCGTCTCTATCGTTTGATTTTCAACTTCTTTTCGTGCCATTGACAGCTCCATCTTTTCATCCACAGACCTCGTTTGGGATAATCGGAAGCTTTTCTCGTGCTCTCCAATAGCTTCTTTAATTTTACAGAAAAGCAGTCGACTTTCCTGTGCACTTGCCGTTGTCATCTTGAGCTTTTTGTTTTCTCCATATATCAATAACCCGTTTTTCCGGTCGGGTGAATAATCCACATTGAGTACTCGAAGACGACCTTTTTCACCAACACCAGCACCGCTACCGTCGCTTTTAGCCCCGGAATAATAAACCAATTCACGTCCAGAGAGAATGAAATACCGATTCTTCCATGAACGTACTTTACTGCCCTGTTTGGCACCCCATCCACTATATTCCGGTACTGTCGACATGGCCCAAATGACGTCGTTTGGCAAATGAGACAATAGAACAGATTTAGGAGCTACTGTCTGTACCTGGAATGAATTTCGAAGGGATGGTGGGTGTTGTTATAGAGTGCTTAATGGCTTGTTCCTTCGGTAGTGACAATCTTCTTTACTGTCGATAGATATCAAGACATAAGCAAATAGAAGAAGAGCATACATATATGCTACAAGGAGAGAAGACGTTACTACCAAGACCTTTAACCCCACACGAGCTTCCCCAAATCTAATACTTGCGATCCATCCAGTAGCTTAAAGCACCGACAAGGATGTCATAGCTTACGGCAAGTGCAATGTACGTCACCACGTCACTACCACCACTCACATTCAAATGCTGGAGATACTTGTAGCGTTCGCTCGGGACGCTTAATGTGCTGCTGCAAATTGAAGCAGGCGATAGACCGGACACCTCGCTTATGGTCATGTAGTGGAAGTTGGAATCTCCTGGCGGTGGCGTCGGTTTTTGGATCGAAATGGACGTCGTCACTTTACCCTGTGAAATAATCTCCGACATGAGCAAACAACGGTATCCCTGACTTTTTGACTTTTTCACAAAACATACGATCTCCTGCCGCAGTCCACCGTTCTGTAAGTTTGGCACCATGCGCTTCACTGCTACCATGTGGTGCACGCCGCCCACGTATTTCTTCAGCGACAGCGTGAAAATCTCACCGTAATTCACGTGGCGCAGTGACCATTGCTTGCGAGATGTCCGCACGATCTCGAACAATTTGCGGCGACCAAAGCCGTAGACCTTGCACCGCTTCAGTCCGTGCGTGGGTCGAAACTCGCGTTTGTCCATGACGTAGATTGTATCTGTGTAGTACGAAAGCACACCGCGAGACCTCATGAGCGTCTCGCTGGCCACGGTCGACTGACGGACCTGATTTGCTGTCAGTGCCTGCTCTTGGTAAAACTCGCCATAGCGTTCAACAGACCTGTAGTATGTGTCGCACATGCACGACGAACCAACGTGCTGTGTGTTATTGTGCGATTCCAAGAGCTTTTCAATCTCACGACACAGTGTAGACCCTTTCGTCGCACCAACGAGATTCCGATACGTCGGGTTCATGAGTACGGTATCGACGTCGGAAATGGCTTCCAGCACGTCTCGTACTTCCGTCGAAACCTGTACAGTTGATGCGTACATGCGTTTCAATGATCCAATAATGCCACCTTTTAAGCAGTTCCTCTCGATGAAACGCAATTGATCTGCACAATTCTTGTCCTTGGATAATTTCTCAATTATTTCCAATGTCGTAGACGGTGTACACTCAAAGATCTGCTGTGCACGTCCCACTGAAATCTCATAACGAAACACTGCAGTTTCAGACAATCCTTCAAGTCTTCCAGTTGTTTCACATGGTTTAATATTCACACGATTGCACGAAATCTGCTCGGCTAGTCAACAAAACATTGGAAAAAAGAGGTTAACACAATGCACAACTTTCCTATTTCACAGCACTCAAAGTACTCACCAATAAGGACCGGTTTAGGGTCATGTAATTCACACACATACGTCGGTATGTTGACTTCTTTTTCCTCCACAACCTCCTCGTCTTCTTCTTCTTTTTCTTCTTTATCCTCAGAATCTGATTCTGAGCCTGATTCGGTCGAAACCTTGTCATCTTCATCTAGAGGTTCATCATCATTTCCGACCTCGGAGCTACGATCAGTTTCTGTCCACGATGAATATCGATCAGTACCGTCTTCTAATTCTTGTCCCTTTGTCGTTTCGATCAAAGCTTTGCGTTTAGCGGCAGCCGCCCGTTTACGGACCAGTAAGTCACTAATTGGTACAGCGTGTGCACTTCCTCGATAGCTATTCAATGCCGCTGTGGGTGTCAATGTAATATACGAATCCTGGAGCATATTGGCGCGAGGCATGTCGATAAAGATGGAGGGAAGTAGGAATGAGTCGCTACTGATGTTGACGCTCAAGTGATATGAAGAATCAGAATCTTGAACAATAGAAAAGTGCTGTCAATAGTGTATATGGACAGACAATAATTATCAAGATAAACAAGCGATTCGATCTAACCCTAATATGCAGAGTCAGATCACAAGACAAACTGAATATCTCATAGGTTTTCCACGTTCGACACGTTTCAAAGTCGTTAAAAAGATCATTAGAACGGAAGAATCAGAAAAAAGAAAACCCCTGCATGAGGTCATGTATGCGACACTAGAGTATTTTATTTTTCATCAGATGAGAAAACGACTCTTGATTATTCTGATAATCTCATTCAATTATTTGAATCTGTAGGTTAAAGACGGTTTTTAACGTCATATGATTTGTTTCGTCTTTAGACATTCATCTAGCGTTTGCGACCGCTAGATGAATGTCTAAAGACAAATCTCTGAACAAACTGCTGGTCCGAACAGTAATGTGCCTTGTGCTTGATAATACAATGGTGATATTAGGCAAAAGCCATGACTACCTCGGATTTCTTTCCTCCTGGACGTACTGGAACGTTCGCAAACGCGCGCATCGCATCCAAACGCATGTCATCGATAGGTGGTCGAGCTGACATTCGAACGTAGTTCTCGTCCGTCGGAAAGTGGTTCAAGATTTCATTTTCTCCGACCAAGTGAATCGCAAACGTCACGCGCTCATACACCCCATTAGTTAAAATGACTTCGTAGAAACCAGGGATACTGACCTGGTTTCCCATATCATCCACCATTGCAAGGGTTCTTTGCTGAATGCGAAAACTAAGCTTATGGTAGTGCGTGGGGTGTAGACTCACGCGACGGTAATCGAACAATTGTTCATTCAATAAAGCAGCGTTGCCGGTCGCATTTACTTTCAGTGGACGAAAAAATGCAAACACGACTTCATCTCCAACAAAATTGCCGTCATTTGATACGATGATGGCGACGGACTGGTCCAAATCACGCGTCACTATGAGAGCTTCGTTCGGGTCCGCCATTTTGCTGTTTCGGTCGAGAGCAAAGGTGAATTTAGTGTAGCTCAGACCCCAGCCAAACGGGAAGACAGGTACCTCCTGGTAGTAGCGGTATGAGCGGCCAGGGTATTTAGTCATGCTCATGCTCTTCATATCCACCTTGTGAATGTAGTTGGATGGGTACATGGTAACCGGTAGTTTGCCACTTGGGATAGCGTCTCCAAAAAGTATGTCGCTCACAGCTTGGGCACCAAAGAATCCAGGATAAAACGCTTCTAGAAGACCATCAGTGTGCAAGATGAGCTCCTCAGCGCCCAAAATGCCGCCATTAAACAGCACTACCACCGTTGGCTTGCCTGCACGACGAACTTGTTTGAGAAGCTGCATCTGAATATGGGGTATATCAATGTTGTTACGATCCCACGACTCGCGCTCAATCGACGTGTCAATTCCCAGAAATAAAACTACAGCATCCGCTCCGCGTGCAGCTGCTTCTGCGGCGTCAAAGTCTGCGGTAGACGTGTCATTAATGCCAGAGCCTTTACAGTAAACAGTGTTTGAGGCACCGTTCGCAGTTGTTATCGCTTCTAGTGGTGTTTGTACACACCCCACCTCCAAGTAGTCGCCGTGGCACACTTGGCCAAGATAATTGCCTAATAGAGCACGCTTGGCTTGTGCGTGCGGTCCAATTACTGCTAATTTCTTCCCTTTGCTTAGGGGCAAGATATTGCCGTGGTTCTGCAGCAGAACCAGCGATTTACGGGTGAGGTCAAGACTCAGTTTTCTAGATTTCGCCGTATTGACTTCACTTGGTGCTACATGCCAGTACGGCTGATCATCAATAGGATCAAATAACCCCAGCTGGAATCGGAGCTTTAGCGTCCTTCTTAGCGCATCGTCCACCACCTTCTCAGGAAGCTGTCCACTAGTCACGAGCTTCGCCAGACACTTCTGGTACACACTGCCACTGTTGATATCCGTTCCAGATAAAATAGCAAGCCGTCCGGCTTCACACAGTGATTTGGTGTAATGTCTCGAGTGATAAATTCCTTCAATTGCACCTGAATCACTAGTAATGTATCCATCAAATCCCAGTGCGTCACGTAGTATCTTGGTATTCAGCTGTTCATTGGCACACATGGGCATGCCATTGACACTATTGTACGAGCACATGATACCCTTGGCCTTGCCCTGTACAATGGACGCTTGAAATGCCGGTAAGTTCGTGTCTGCAAAGTCGTATTTCGACACGACAGCATTGAATGCCATGCGGTCAATTCCATCATAATCTTCGTACGAATATGCCGCATAATGTTTCAATGTTACGACTGCTTGTAAAAAACGACTATCTTTACCTTCTTGTAATCCTCTCGTGTAAGCTACACCGTATTTACTATTGACTAAGGGATCTTCCGATGGAGTTTCCATGCTACGTCCCCATCGAGGATCTCGATTGATATTAATATTAGGAGACCAACAATCAAGTCCTAAGTGAGGACCTGCAGCATAATTTTCTCGAGCTCCTTCAAGCCACAAAGCACGAAGTTCCCAGCCAATAACTTGTGCCATCTCAAAGACCACTTTTGGATCAAAGATTGCTCCCAAATTAACGGGATTTGGGAACGACGTGGCACAATTCGTCCCACAAGTGGATTGAACTCCATGTACACAATTGGCACCCCAATTATATTCTGGAACACCGAGATGACTCATATTTCCCTTGGGACTTGCACGAGCAGTGAGTAAAATCACTTTTTCTTCCAGTGATAGACGAAACAAAAGGTCTTCAACTCGTTTAGTCGTTGATAGCGACGTATTACAAAATGGAAAGTGTTGATGATCTATAGTTGAGCAAGCTCTTGGTATTGAAGCGGCATGAAGAGAAGGAACATTGAAGATTATTGTTAGCAATGATAAGAACGAGAGAAAGAGATGCATGAGAGCTTTTGTTTAGAGAAGGAATCAGATTGGTTTTTGTGATGTTTTTGCGATCTTGATAATATTTACAATTATAGTCTAAAGAGATTAAAAAGTAGAACAAATTAAGTAATTTAATAAAAATAATGAAAATAAAAAGAGTTTTTCGATTAACTGGTCACAATCTGCGATGCAATTGATTAATATAATGAGCGGCGTCGACTTTTTCTTCCACGCACTTTTCGATCATGCTTTTGTTTAAAGGTCGTTTACCTATCCGTTTCATCGTTAGATATCGAGATGGTCGGTCATTTCATGAATCTTTCATTTTGGACAATCCCGGCGCGGTGGTTGGAGACACCACTTCGTACCTCTGGCACCCTCGACTCGGTCACATTGGTCATGGCGGTATGGATTCCATAGTCAGAAAATTTACGGTGTTGGCATGGATATTGAGTCGGTAAAGCAGTGGGAAGCATGTAGCGGATGTTCACTCGGCAAGCAAACACGAGTAAGCTATGCTCCAGTCGTCGATCAATCGCGCGACCAAGTGCTGGAAGTCGTTCACAGCGATGTGTGTGGACCCATGAAGATGCAAATTAGTGGAAGCGCTACTTCGTCACGTTCATCGATGACAAGTCACACTTCTGTATGGTGTACCTGCTGCGTACCAAGTCGGAAGTAGCTGCCAAATTTGCTAAATGTGTTGCATTTGCCGAGCCACATACAAAGGCGACATCGTTATTTGATTTTGATAGTCAACCAATCAGAATGTAAGGATGTACCACCTTTTGGTCCCAGTAAAGCGTCACATACAATCTGTCAAATTCGTTTACGAATAATATATATGTCGTTTTTTCTCGCCCATTCGAGAATCTGCCGACTAAAAAAGAAATCGAAACGTGCGCTCGTTGGCGTGAGTGGAAGCGTGTTTTCGGACCGATTACACAATAATGACTTTGAGAAGGTGATCAAGGCGAAGAATCCAAGAAAGATTACATGTGACGCAAGCGACCTGCAACTCTTCCCTACCAAGATGGTAGAGGGCAGTTTCGTAACCACTTTATGAAGTAACGGAAAGTAAAAGATCATAATGCAAGGGCAGGTAAGCAGTAGGAAGTAGACTTGACAAACATGAATGGTACATTTACTTCGACCTTTGTCACTTACGCCTCCAGCAGCTTTTACCATCATTGAACGTACGACAGATTATAAGCCATACGCCCAATGGACAAAGCTGTCCAAGACCAAATTCAAGTGACATCGGCGACGCACGCTGCCGACGACGGACGCAGTACAGCCTCTAGCGCGGAAGAGGGCATGGCAAGGCTACTGGACCTGATGTTCGAGCTAAATAGTGGCATCGGAGCTCGCCTGATAAGACTTGAAGCTCGACGATCCTAGGACGACCAAGGTTCAGTTGGGTCCACCGGCAGCAGTACCTTTCGCGCTTATGCGAGACACGCGCGGGACTCGGCCGCCATGTGACGTTGTCCTCGCTCGAAGACGAAGTCACGCCGAAGCCAGCATGAACCCATGCTGACGGACAGAGGCACCAGCATTTGGGTGGCGCAGAAGGAAAGCAAGGGACGCCCGTGTAGCCGCAACGAGATCAGCGTACATGCAAGTACTTACACCGTCGTACTTTGCGCTGCAGAAACCTCTGCAAGCTAGAGACCTGAAGCTGTCCCTGAAAAATTTCGTTGGCAAGGACGTTCGCCTAGGACTCGGGTCGATATTTGGGTCCTGGGCGAAACGATTTTACGCCACTGCGTATTTCATGTTTGTGTAAGGCGCACGCAACGTTAGCGCTCCTTGCGGTGCCCACCATCTTGGCTGCGCCAGGTTCCGGTTTGCTCCCTGTTGAGACATGCTTGTCCAATCTTGCCCAGTCATTGAGCGCATTGGTAAATGATCGAGGGCGCGTCGATGTGCATTGGTACACCACCACGACCATTGGTAAGTACTGAACGAAACATCCACGACTCACTCGCACCCATCATGCGATTGCCTTCGTCGCGCCTCAGCTGCGAGACCTCCATCTGCGCAATTCGCGCTTGAAGGTCGGCGAGAATCGCCAGTATTCGGGCGTTGACGTCGTCGCCGGGCCGTCGATCCGCCTTACACCACCACAGGAGACGTTCCGTGTAACAGGGCATCTAGTTACACGTAAACATTAAGTAATATACTCAATGTTTGGTCTAAAAGTATCCATGATTACTTTTGACCTGTCACTTGGGTGCGATACACAAACGCGATCCACCCTCGTGAATGTGATATCCATTTATGGATTCACATGAGAAGGGATGACGCTAGTTGAAGCTAGGCATCGCGACGTCTCAGAAAGACGTCAGTTGCGATCTTAAATCTAGATTTAAGTTCATGCGACAGGATACGCTTCTAAAGAGTCGCGTATCCGATCTATATACATATATAGCCAATCAGTAGTTAAGTATATATTTAGTTATAATTAATTAAATGTAGCTCAGTCTTTAATTTCCTAAACAACGAAGCACCACGCACGAGAAGCTGAAAAGCTTCTACGTGACGTCGGTGCCTTCTTGTCTTAGAAGTTCGTTGCACTCTCGCTTAAAGCGAGAGACAACTGGTGGTACGACTGCTTAAGCAGTCGACCAACCTCCTAACCACCCTCGCACGCGAAGGTAAGACGGTATAACCGCTTCCTCGCTTGTGCATAAGGTGTGTGCTAGTAGTACGAGGCAACTTCGTAGAAGTGCCCGTCTACACTTGGTAGCACTAGTAGTCCTTCCCACGACCCGTCTCTCTGAGCGTGCGTGTGGTTGAGATGGTCCTTAATATGGACTGGAGTGAACTTCTCTCACCTCTCCCAACATCATAGGGAGTTGGCAGAGCATATGGCGCAGGGACTTGGTGAACAAGCCCCGGTCAACCTCTTGCATTGTCCTCCTGAGCAACATGTTGCTCAGTTGGAGCAATTTGAGGCGTTTGTGCTCGGACAGCGTAGAAACGCGTCCGAGGTAAACAGCCAAGCCACCGCTTAGTCCATCACTAAGACTCAGGATGAGCTTAGGCTTGAGCAGGCACGGAATGAGACGCTCAACAGAACTGTTGAGACGCTCTCTGCCCGGCCTGCTCAACCGAGGCCCATTCGGATGGACCCTCCGAAGTTCGATGGAACTAGCCCTTACACGATTGTTCACTGGCTATTAGCAGTTGAGCAATGTGGAGTGGCGAAGCTCATCGAAGACGACACTAGAATGGTGTCGTATGCCATGTCCAACTTGCGTGGCAAAGCGTCAGAGTGGGCATACTCTGCGCTGATGGCTAATGCTGATGCATTTCCATCATGGGCGATCTTTAAGGCAAAGATTCGCGCCATGTATCAGCCGCCTAACAACGAAGTGTTGCTTATGGCGCGCTTCTTTGGAGCACGACAGGAGAAACGATCTCTGCAAGAATTTGTGCAGGAGATGCGTTCGATGTCGGCTTCCATTAATGGGGAACCGATACCAGAACGTATCAAAGTGGCCACGTTCATGAAAAGACTTAGGCACGGTCCATCGCGTCAGGCCCTTTTCAGAAAGGTGCCAGAGACGATGGAAGAGGCAATTGACATTGCCTTAGTTGAGGAGCAATCTTACAACAGCGCCTCGGCGACAGCCTATTACAGGCCGTCGTCCGAGAAGTCTGATGCCACTTCTATGGAGTTAGGCAATGCAGATGTGATCTGCTACAAGTGCGGCAAGCGAGGCCATATGATGGCTCGCTGCTATGCCAAGGTAGCTGCTGGTGCTAAGGCAGCCAGCAAAAGGTCTCCCAACCCGAAGGGAGGTGCGAAAAACCAGCGTGCACGACGCACGGGTTCAGCACCTGCCGCCCAAGATGGGTCGGGAAATGCGGGAGCGCAGTAGGGGCGGGATGCCCTACTGTCGCGGACTCTGAAGCTACCCCTAAGTTCAGAGTGATCGAACAAATGGGTAGCATAGTCCCTGAGGTTCCGAAAGGTCGGACCTCAACCCTTTTGGTCTATAGCGCTCGAGTACGAGGCTATGACCAAGTGATGACCCTTCTCGTGGATTCGGGTGCATTACAAAACTTTGTGAAACTCGCGGCTTTAAAAAGAGACCGGCGAGTTATGAGTCGCTTTGCCAGGATGGCAAGCGAGAAGAGGCGATCGTTCGTTTAGCGAACGGTGCGCTCGTTAAATCGGAGGGATTTCAAGCTGAACTCGCCTTCAGTTTCAGTGACTTCTCTTGTAAAGAGAAGTTCACAGTGCTAGGTATGGAGAGTCCGTATGACCTCATCCTAGGCATGCCTTGGTTGGCTAAACACCAACCATGGATAGATTGGCGTACACGCACAGTTGCTAGCTCTACGCAAGACACCGGAAAGGATAAGCTCTTGCGAGAGGCTTATGTGACTGATGCTGTGTCCAACACAGTCGAGGGTGCGATGGCGGTATGTCAATCGACACCAGGAATTACCCAGCTCGAAAGGAGTGGTGTAGTTGGAAGTGCACTGGCGGAAAGCCAGATGACACATATTCCTACCCAGGTCGAAAAGTCTGGTGTATGTGAATGGGGAGATGGCAGATAGTCATGCGTCCAATAGTCCTGCACAGAGACGAGGGCCTGTGGCAGTTGATGGTGGGCTGACAGGAAGTCAAGCGC